TAAACTATTTAAGTAATCGCGATTTAAGAGCGGAGCTTCAGAATAATGTAAAATTCTCACTGGGGGCATAGAGGTGAATGTGTGGTATCGATCCGCCGAGGGTTAACAATAACGTTTTAAAGGCTTACTATTCTTTTATTTGTTTTTCTTAAAGCTTTTTTTTAAATTTTGATGTTCTTCTATAATATCCAACAAATACACATTGGCCAAATACCTGAACCATCTGTTTCATGTGTTGCTTTTTTGGCAAGGATGAGTACAGTTATTGTGAATTAGTATTTTATATGGAAATCAAATACTATATTGTTTTGACTACTTTTATGACAAATAATTTCACATATATCGCTACTTTATCCAGGTAACAAACATCTTACATTTCTCTGCTACCATTAATTTAACATTATAAAATTCATGTTTGCTCTTTCTAAAGAACTATGTTAGATTTCCTTTGTAAAAAAGCCTCTGGTGAACGGTTTTTACGGAGCTAACAAAAAATGTTTGTTGATAATCTTAAAAATGTATTTTTTAAAAATTACTTTTATAGGCCGATCGAAAAACTTGATATTTCACTAGAACATTGCAATAGAGTATATTTATAGTTCTTTAGAAAAAAAATATTAAATGCATTTTATTTCATCCCCATCATATTTAAAATGGGCTCAAAATGGCACCAAAAGTTATCAAGTAAATGACTGACAGAACGGGATATTTTTTTCAGCATCTTTTAATTTAAGGAATCAACCATAATCTATGTACTAGAGTACTGTGTTATACATATTGTATGAACAAAATTTTTAGATATTTCAAGTGGTAAAAATAATGAAACTTTTATCACTTAAGCATCAAACAAAGTATCTACCCCCATCTTGAACTACACCTCAAATATTTCAATGTCGCAGATCGGAAATAAATCAGTACTCAGTATTTAAGCAGAACTCAAATGACGCCTTTAGACCTCTGGAACCAAAAGTGCGTTGATATGTAGCATATAAACACACTTTGGGGTCAATTTCTCGATTTTGACCCCAAAGTGCGTTGGACCCCAAAGTGCGATGCGAAGTTTAACGCACTTTAAGGGTCAGACCCCAAAGTGCGTAAGACCCCAAAGTGCGGTGTTGCACGGCTTATTCGCCTAGTGGTTAGTACGGCGGAAAGGTAACCGCGTAGTTACAAGTTCGATTCGTCTTTTGTTTATATGCGATAAATTTAGGGAGGGGAGGGGCATTTAGCTTTGCCTTTGTCCATCATTCCGTCCGCCCGTACATGCATGCATTCCTTATGTTATGTCATATGTAGCTCTAAATCTTCTTAAGCTAGAATTATCAAGTTTTACATGAATGTTGTACACCTAAGGTTTCGCGTGTGGATAAATTCAGTTTCGTCAGACAAGATTTTGCCCTTGACTAAGTAAATTTCACAACTTGTGTTGTAGCCCACCAGTATTTGACCCAGTCATGAAACTACAGGAATATTGGTCATGTGACGTTGTGCACCTAGATTGTGCATTTGGATTTTTTTTTCAATATTTGTATTCATTACACTTGACTTCCTTGATGATCTTGTTTATCATATTATTAGTAAATATTTGCAATTGTGTAGCGCTTAGACCTGAAAGTATTCGACCTTGAGTGATTAAACTTTTCAGTGTGCAGTTGTACACCTGAGGGTTTGCTTGTGGTTTTAATCATTATTTGTATTGTTGTTGCCCTTGCTTTAGTAAAAGTTTAGCAATTTACAACTTGTGTCGTGAGTTGCCCAAGGCATGTTTGACCTAAGGTCATGGAACATCACAGAAATGTTGGTAAGTATGTATAGTTGAATACCTAGGGATGTGCTTATTTTCAGTTGTGATCAGCGTGTTAAGTCGTTCATCTTAGGGTTTGCTTGTAGATTTCTTCGGTATTTGAAGAGGTATTGCTCTTGACTTAGTAAACATTTGGTAATTTAACTTGTGTCGTGTGTAGCCAAAAACTAATTGACCTAGAATCATTATTGTCCATCAGCATGTGTAGTTGTTTACCTGGGGGTTTGCTTGTACATGTATATTAATTCAGATTTGTAGGGTAATTGCCCTTAAAAAAGTAAAAACTGATCCAAAAAGGTGTATCATATTATAAGCTAGAATCAACAACTTTACAGGAATGTTGATCAGCAAGCTATGTATCTATAAATTTGCGAGTGAATTTATTCAATTTTGTTAGAGGTATTGCCCTTGACTTAGTATAAATTTGCAATTTTCAACTTGTTTCTTGCTAGCGCTAGCTCAAAAAGCATATGACTTAGAGTTATGAAACTTTATAGGAATGTTGGTCAGCATGTGTAGTTGTGCATCTGGGGTTTTGCTTGTTTTTATTTTCAATTCTTAATTTTTAATTCAGCATATTTTAGGATATAAAATTGAGATTTGAAATTCAAATATCAAGTTGTGAAAATTGGAAACATTTGGTGACGTTTTTATGGCCCAACCACTTAGGGGTGGGGAGTCATGTATAATTTCCTTTGTCTGTCTCTCTGTCATATTGTCCTTCTGTACTTCAGTAGGCTGACAGCGGAGAATGGAGACTCTGTGTTATATAAACACGTTTCTAGTTATTTCTCATACTGATTTCTTTCTTTATTTGAATAATGAGTTGATAAATCATGTGTTTGATTTCTAGCATTAGTTTTGTCCCTTTTCAATTTTCATAATTGCGACAAAAGGCATGCATAGTTTTTCATTTCATTGATTTCAACACGTAAAGACGTACATTTAGTGATTCGCATTAATAAAAACACAGTTGTAAAGATTTATAGAAAATAATAAAAAATGATGTTTAATGAAAAAAAAATAAAACATCTACAAAACAACACTTTTTCTTCAAATTATATGTTAGGCCATGTTTATACCATGGAAAAAATTTCAGGTATTTTCATCAGTTTTTGTTAACCGTTAACATCAAATATACGCGAATCAACGCATTTTCGCCCCCCCCCCCCCGCTATTATGCCTCAAATAGTGAAAAAATGTCCTGTTTGGGCCCAAAACACATGTTTTTGTTTGAGAAATGTTGATAATAAAGTGAGAACTTCTTCGGCGGGTCCTCCAACCAAGCGATTCATCAGGGGGTTGCCAGAAGGGGTATGTTGGGGGGTTGAAGAGGGGCGGCAGTCCCCCTCATCGCCAAAAGAATTTTGGACTTGTCTGAGGCTAAAAATGACCCCAGATCGATCATAAGGTAACGTGTAAACAACGCTGAAAAGCATTTGACTCTACATAAATCCATTGAGAAGTTGCAGCACTTTGAAATCAATTTTAATGGGAAAAATCAACGAAAAATAGTGATTTTTTGGCAATTTTGAGATGTCCCCTCGTTGCCATGGTAACAGGAAATTTATGTCTGAGCATGTTGTTACGAAGGCAATGGTGCAGTCAACATTTGTGCCAAGTTTGATTGGTATTAAAGCAGTTTTCATAGTTTTATAGCAATTTGAACTTGTAATGGGAGACTTTTCAATGAAAACAGCCATTTTTCACAAAATTCTCATGAAGTAATGGGTTAAAAAACGTATATAAAAAAAGTTTCTTCACTATTCGAACCTTCAGCCTCCAATATGAACGGGAATAGAAAACATAGGAATAAAGTTTATATAAAAAATATAGGAGAATTTCTACACGAGGTTCAGAACAGTTGACACAATTAGTGAGTGACTTATAAACAAAGATGTTAAATTATCTTTCTGATATTTTTCACCAAGTCAAAACAAGACTAAGTTCTAAGATATCCGAAGTGACCCAGGGCTCAGTTTGTAGTTTTATTCTAGGCTCTTTCATTTGTGCTATGTTATCAAACATTGACAAAATATGAATTTAAATTTACCCCATACTGGAATAACATTGTCACATAAAAACACTGCACCGTAGTCTACATGTGGTAGACTTGTCTTCTATATTATTTTCTTCAATGATCTAATTTCACAGTATTATGATTTCAAATAGTACTTCGGAATTATTCCTAATGCAAAATATAGTTGAATGGTCTGCTATTGAAATACCAACTACAACTCAATTAGGAGTTTTACCACAGTCTGAAACTAGTATAATTATTAAGATCTTCAGCTGTTGAAGTAGGCTCCGAAATTGCTGGATTTTGTGTTGTTATTTGTTTTTTATGTGTACTGTATATTGTAAGTATCTTTGTGACGTTGTCTTCCTTGATTTAAACTTTTCAATATTTGCATATAGTTTCTTCTGTCGACACATTTAAGTTTTATTTCGTCATTCGACAGAAATTTGTGACTGAGGCAAATTTAAGGATGTTGAATTGATAAAGATATAGTATGTCTTATGTACCAAAGTCTCTTGAGTTAATATTATGACATCATTAAGTACATGTGTGTATAAATAAACTGAGTAAAATATACAGCAATGTTTCTTTTCTAAGTTTTGTTGAAACAAAAAGGGGATATGTTCAGCAAATAGGTCAAATTTGTTTAACTTCAACAGGGCATCGCTATAGTTTCAAAAATAATTTGTATCTGAACATAGTTAAAGCAAAACAAATAATGTATGTTTATCATCCGGATTTACAAAATTTATATTATCAATTTAAGTCGCAAAACTTCGATAGTTTCACCCATTCACAATAATAAGTGTATTTAATTACAATAGCGGCTTGCCATTGACGTGGTTTGAACGCACAAGGCCAAAGATCCGACGCACTAACCACTCGACAATGCCGCCACATAAACTATAACTTCATGTAGACTTTTATACGTCTTGACTGAGGCAGATCGGAATTTACTATTGTTTAAGTACATGGTGGGGAGTAAAAGGCGTTAACATGACTACATATCAAACATTTATTTCCATTCAAGTTTTATAGAATAGAAAACATGAGTTTTCTTCTGACACACCTCATATTATTGACAATGAAAATGCAACAAACGATGTGGATTACGCATAACACATCTCTTACATTATAAGAAAAGGGTGGGGTTAAATAACAGAAAATAAATCTTACCTTCACAGCTTTGTTTTAATAACGATGCTCCTTTGTCTCTGAAGGATATAACTGCATAATAAGCTTTTATTTCTTAATAATCCGATGTTTCTGTGACACTTCTGAATTTTCAGTGGGTGAGGATGATCCCTTTGGAAACCGACCTTATAATAATTTCCTTTCTTTCCGATACGACTGTCCCGTCAAAATAAAAAGGAACGTATGCTAACCGTATATGAATATCAACGCTTCTAAAGTATCCTTTATATAATCTTTCATGGATATGAAATTACGGTCAATCGATGTAAATATCACGACTTCTGTAAACATGACGCACCCATTTAATATGCAGTTTTTGTGTTCAATTACCCGCGTAGAAATCGGATATTTTGAAACCCAGTACAACTTAAGCATATATACAAGTCAATATTTAAATACTTCATGGCCGTTTTAAAGCCATTTAAAGAATAATTGAGCCGCGTCATGACAAAACCAACATAATGGATTTGCGACCAGCATGGATCCAGACCAGCTTGCGCATCCGTGCAGTCTGATCAGGATCCATGCTCTTCGCTAACCAACTCTATTACAAGTGGAGAAACTGACAGTGAACAGCATGGATCCTGATCAGACTGCGCCGATGCGCAGGCTGGTCTGGATCCATGCTGGTCGCAAACCCATTATGTTGATTTTGTCATGAAACGGCTCAATTAAAGAATAATCTATCGTACAATATAGACAATATATCGCTGCAACAGAAAAGAATATACATAGCGCTGTTTTTTTAAATATAGATTGTAATGTTTAATTTAGTATATATTTATGATATATTGATTTCAGAGAAAACTGTGAATTAGAACATCTCTTGAATGTTTACGATTGTTTCGAACGGCATTCGAACTGCAATTCTATTATAGCATAATATATCTATATAAGTGTGGGCTATATAAATATTTATATATATTATAACAACTGGCGTGTTTGTTAATAAAACCCAGTAAACAAACACTACAAAAAAAATACAAAAAAACCCAACCTAATAATGTCTAACGTTTTCAGCTTGGAAGAATGCGGAAGGAAAACCTCTTTAAACTGGAGATAAAATCATTATTTATTGTGTAGAAATTCAATTTCCTGCCTATATTTTTTCACCGACTTAAGTTTTATGCAAATTCAGTTTTTATTGCAAATGAAAAATATAAGGAGAAATTTCTTTTTGAATTGTTAAAGATCCTTTACACTTTATACAATATGCTATTATTTATACTTCTGAAAAAATCATGTTTGTGTCCTGTTGTAGTTTCCACAAAAATGTTACTCATTAGTCACCTTTTGCTTCTTTTGCGTTTTTGGCAAAAGCTAAATTTGGAAGTCAGTATGCCCCTTTGATAATAATTTGTTACCTTAATCAACAATAATTTCACGCAATAAGCATCTCACAAGCTCTTAATATATAAGATGATAAAATATTTGTTTGTCCTTTCTACCGTATTAAAATACTATTCATTTCTAAGGCTCGATGTGCCTTTAAGAAAGATTCATAAAATGTATAAATTATGATTTCAGGTTACTGGTCATTATTTTAAATGACAATGTAGAACAATTTGTTCATGCCAAGCCAACATGTCATATAAACATTTATATAATTTTATTTGTTACTCCACGCCCCCCCCCCAACTGAATAAACATGTAAATAAACACAAGAACATTGCAGGTATGCTTACAGAAATGCAATCAAGGTTTATGAATAAAAATTAAAAAGATGCAGTATATAAATAGGAAAAAATGTAGGTATAGGAACGAAACTATAATGTAGGTATTATTTAGGTACGTGCTTATGAACAGAAAAACAATCATTATGTAAGATAATAAACAAAAATACATCTTGACAAGGAGTGAAGGTACATAAAAAGTAGTATAATGTAGGAACATAAACAGATATTCAATGTTCCTGATTAAATGTTTGTTTAACGAGATTTGCACCGCGGGATTTACATACCTTTGACAAACAATTTGTTGCTGAATGAAAGGGAATGGAATCTGAAAGAATGTTGAGGAGTTCTATTCTGAGGGAAAGTAATTAGCCTGCATGGACTCTTTTTGGCGTATGTATTTACACAAGGAAAGATTTGTCGTTCAATAACCGGAATGATCTATCTCATGCAGAACTTGAAGCAACCTGGATTGAACTGATTTTACCTAAATCAAAATCTATTTTATGTGGTGTATTATACAGACCTCCTTCACAGCAAACATTTTATTCTATTTTAGACTCAGTGTGCTCTATTAACAATGACTTTTTAGAATATGAAACATTATCACTTGGTGATTTAATACAGATGTGTCTAGTGACAAGTCTAATCCTCTTTTAAAGTGTTCTAAATCATTTATGCATATGTTTCATTTTAATCAGTTAAAAAGTGAACCTACAAGAATTTGTTCTACAAGTTCAACAACTATTGATTTAATTTTAGTATCTGACCATGATAAAATTTCTCAATCAGGTGTTATAAATACTTCATTTAGTGATCATAACATGATTTACTGTACAGGAAAACTCTCTAAATCTTTTATTGGTTCTCACAATAATGTTACTCTAAGATCTTTATAAAAGTATAATAATGAAGACTTTCAAGCTAGTCTATTATATACTGATTGGAATCCGGTATTACTGAGTGATAATGTGAATGAAGCATATTGACAGGGACAGGTTTAAAGAAATTTTCTTATCTGTAATAAACAATATTGCTTTAGTGAAACAAACTAGGTTGAAACAAAGAACATAACCTTGGATTGACTCTGATATACTTCAAGCTATCAGTGATAAAGATACAGCTTTTAAAATTTATAAAAGTAACAGAACATTGGACAATTTTATTTGTTTCAAGGTCTCAGAAATAAGGTGCAGTATTTAATTCACTCTGCAAAATCAAGTTATTTTACTAGTCAACTTGAGGAGAACAAAAATGATTCAAAATCTTTATGGAAATCTCTCAAAAATCTTGGGCTGCCATCTAAGAAAGGATCTTCTTCATCTAGTTCTAATATTTGTTTAAAAATTGATGAAAAGGTTTGTTTTGATAATAAACTTATTGCTGAGACTTTTTACAATTTCTATACAACTGTTGCTTGTAAACTTGTTGAAAAACGTCCTAAATGTGTAAACAGATTTGGTCAGGTTTTTGTAAACTCATTTTATGCTGAAATAGGTGTTTATCCTTATAGTTTTTTCTTTTGTGTGAAAGCAAAGTTTTTAAATACTTAAATGCACTCAGCACTAGCAAAGCTACTGGCTTAGATGGTATACCTTCCCGTTTTGTCAGGGACGGGTCACCTATAATTGCAGGTCCTATAACCCACATTGTCAACTTGTCTCTTATCCAAGGTGAAGTTCCTGATGATCTTAAGACTGCTGAGTTGTCCCCCTTTTTAAAAAGAATGATAAACTTTCTGTTGGTAACTACAGGCCTCTGTCAATTTTATGTGTAGTCTCCAAAATACTTGAAAAGGTAGTTTTTGACCAAGTTGAAACATATTTTAAAGAGAATAAGCTGTTGTGTAAATTCCAATCTGGTTTTAGAAATGGTTTCTCCACTGATATTGTCTCTTTTACATGACAGACTACAAAAGGCATAAAAATTTTAAAAGGGGAATGTGTAGGTATGGCTCTGTTAGCTTAAAAAAGCCTTTGCCCCTTTTTTTTTTGAACCATTCTGGTCTTTGTGACATCATAAGGGGGTTTATCATATTTTTCCCGAGAAACAACGCTTGTTGATGTGTCGTAGTTTTTCTTCTATTAAAATATAATTTTTGGTGTTCCCCATTAAATTTTTTTTAAACCCAAACATGAAAAGCTTTTTGCTAAAAAAAATCAACCAATAATTCTTTTTTGGTTTTTTTAAAAAAACAAAAAAACAAAAAAGTTTAAAAAAAATGAAAATTTTTTCCAATATTTTTAAATTTATAAAAAACAAAATAAATAAATAATAATTTAAAAAAACCCAATAAAAAAAAGGAAAAAAATTAAAAATTTATATATTAAACCCCTTTTTCCCTTTTACAAAAAATTTTGTTTTTTTTATTATTTAACAAAATTTTTTAAAAAAAATAGGTTTTAATTTTATTTTAAAAAAGCTTTTTTAAAAAACAAAAAAAAATAAAGAAAAGAAAAAAAAACCATAAATTTTTCTTTGGGAAATTAAAATAAGTTTGGGCCCATTTCCCTATGAATTAAATCTAAAAAGAATGTACAAAAATTACACATAATGGTATCATAGTAAAAAAGGGAATTAATCAAAAAATGGCCAATCTGATTTTTAGGAAATAAATTTCTAATAAAAAATCAAAAAATAAGTGGTTCCAAAAAATTTTTTTTGAGTATAAATTAGCTATTTTTTCATAAGTATAACATAAAACCTGTTAATAATATGGAAAATAAGAAGATTTGTAGTATTAAAGGAAAAATTACTGGTTATAGTATGAGTTGTCTTCCCCCCACTTAAATATTTGTGGTGTGTGTAATACCACTCTGTAAACTTACTCAAACTAGATATCTATGATCATATGGAAAATATTACAATTGATTTGTTATGTTAATTAGGTGTAAAATGTTCTCAAATCACTAAAATAATGGAATTTCTATATATAAAACACCAATAATAATATGTCAAATGGAAAATTTACACTTTATATGAAAAATACTGAACTCTGCTATAAATTATTTACTAGCCTGGATGCCAGACCATAAATTAATCCTTAAATATCTACTAATAACCATAATTGTTCCATATAACTTAAAAAGCTTAATATTTTATAGTCGTTTTCCTCCCTTCGGTACGCATCTCCTCCATGTGAAATAATAGGTTTATACTTTATAATGCTCTATTATTCTAAATCAGAAACTGTTTACTTTTTGTCTAATAAATTAACATATTAAAGACATGTCAAGACAGATTTAACATGCCACATTATAGTAACACTTATTAAATTTTTGTATGTGGTAACATAAGGCTATTTATTACACTGATAGCATATAACCGTTTATGGGAGACAGCTCCATCTGTTCAAGCTACACATATATATTGTAGCTATATGTATTTTTACAATTAACTGCCAAGCGGTGTTGCTATTATGACTCTATTGTTTTTGTTTTTTGTAATAGTAATTAAGAGCTCCATCATATATAAATTTATAATAGTAACTGTTGTAATAGTTTACAGTTCATATATTTTTATTGTAAATACTCTATTGTTTCTTTTATGATATGTTATTAAATTATAATAGTGGTCCTAAAAAGTGGCCATGAAACGGTGAGATTACTAATTATTGATAATTTTTTACATTTTTAATATATTTTAATACATATCTTCTTACATGCTGACTGTACACTATCATTAAGTTTTATCGTCCCTAATACATGATCATTAAGAATTGGGTTGTTGCTACATGATACCTACAATGTATATAAAACTCCATTTTTTATCTTTTATCTATATTTTTATCCCTTGTCTATAACAAACAGATGGTCTGTCTGTAAATAAACAAACTTTCTATTTTTACTCTTTTTATATAGGGTACAATCTATAATATACCATATGTTGATACTGAGCCCCTGTTTAAATAATATGGAGCAAAGGCTATATGGGGCTCAATCAAGTATGAATACCTCTATTATGTGTTATCAAGAGGACTTCATCACATTCCTATAATAATTTTAAAAAAAATGAAGAATATAAATGAATTAAATGAAATAATTACTAGATATGATATTTCACAGCACACAGAGGTTATGAACGAAAAGCAAATAAACTTGAAATAAGTCTGATATTTAGGTTTTGTGTACCAGATGAATATGTGTGTTTGTTACAAAAATATATTGCTGAAAACTGCTTTTCAAAATAATAATTTTAAACTTTTTCAAAAACACTTTCTTTTAATAATTGCATTTAGTCATTTTAATATTGAGCACACATTACAACACATGTATTGTGGCAAATATTATTGCTTTTGAAGAAATTACACTAAAAGCAAAAAAGCAATTATATTAAATTTATAATGTTATACTTAACAAGCAGTACATATGCTAGATAAATGAACATTCGTGTATTACATTGCATTTTATCTAAGTTAACAAATGCATCCATTTTTATCCCCCTTGCAATCTCATTAACTATTGCCAGTCGACTTTTTTTGCAGAGAAAAATTTGAAAGAGATAATTTCATTACAAAAGTATCACATATGAAATGTTTAAAATGGAGTTTGGAATTATTTTAACATTGTTGATGAGCAAATTATGAACATGAATACATTTCTGTTAATCAGATCTATTATCTCACACTTAAATATACCTGCTAGGACAATTTCAATCGTTGTTGGTAAACAATATCAGATTTATCTCCCTTACATACTCAGACAGTAAATCAGGTTTAATAAAGCAAATGTACATTCACAAAAGAAAAAGGGAAGTGCCTCATTGTAATTATTTGGATATAAAGCGCCATAGTTACTAAAATGCTCAGGGACTAAACTTGTAGCAAAACATAAACAAGGAGAGCAACTGTATTATTTTAAGACTCAAAAAGCTAGTTGCTTTTACTCGTGTATGTAAACAACATGGAAAATAACTGGACAACATATACGTATGTGACAGATACATATTGTTTATGATAACAACAAATCACAATAAAAGAGAATACTTTTATTTATAAATATAATATCTGAAGGTATTGTTGAATATAAAAAAGAAATATTATTCAGCAATTTCATACGCAATTTGGAAACAGTCAAACTGGTGGCCCAATGTGGAGGGGATAGTGTTTTCAACTGTTGCCCAAGGCCATAGGGTGACAGTTCAAAACACTATCCCCAACACCCAGGGATAACTGTTTGACTGTTCCTTAATCACATGTGAAATTACTGTTTTATTGCCTGATCAATTACTGTTTTAACACTACTTGCAGAAGAAAAACAAGACAAAGAAAATAGTTTTTAAATATGTACTAATGAAACTTTCTCAATTTAGCAATCTTTCAACTATGCCACGTCTTTTCTGGTTTATGATCATGATCGATGGACGATTCAAGGGGGAATCCTCTATGACGTTAGAGCACGCGAGGGAAACAGTCGAAACTATTGACAGGTCAACAGTTCGCTTAGAAATTCAGAAAACAGTAATTAAAATACCAAATAACATCTATATAAGGTATCAGGTAATAAATAATATACAGTTATTTCATATGTGATTTGAAAACAGTCAAACTGTTGGTCCGAGGTGGATGGGGTAGTGTTTTGAACTGTTGTCCAAGGCCGTAGGCCAAGGGCAACAGTTCAAAACACTTTCACCGACACCGAGGGACAACTGTTTGACTGTTCCCAAATCAGATATGAAATAACTGTTTTATATCCTAATCAACTAATATTTTAATAGTAATTGCAGAAGAAAAAAGGAACAAGAAAACAGTTTTGCACATATGTTAATAATTAATCTTAATACTTTAACTATTTCAAGTCACGTCTAGTTTATGATCAGGATCGATGGACGCTTCAGGTGGGAATCCTATATGACGTTACTGACGTCAAAGCACGCGAGGGAAACAGTCAAAACTATTGAGCGGTCAACAGTTCGCGAACGTGGACGATTAAAGAATTTCAGATCACAGTAAAAAATAGCAAATTACATTTATATAAGGTATCAGGTAATAATATAACTGGTTCAATAACTGTACTTTTTATCACAGCCATAGCTATACGCTAAACAATTTAAAACACATAGGTTTGTGAGTTACAGTAAAATAACAACCCTACCCGGAATGTCGCGTTAGTGTTTAACATATCTATTTTAATACCCCGAACAAACACTTCATTTGGACTATGTTTCTATAGGTTATTATTTCCTTCAGGTTTTCACTGTGAAAATGTACTGTTCCCTATGTAACAGTACAATTGTTTAACTTTACTTTACAGTAAAAAACCCCCTTGGTTATGAAGAAAATTAAAAAAGGGGGGGGTTAAAATAAAGTATGTATTTTTTATTTTTATTGTATAATTTTCAAACGGATTTTTTAAAAAAACTTTATTTTAAATCCAACGCCCTTTTAACATTCCGTTTTACATTAAAAAAAGACATAAAAAAGTAAAAAAGGTTTTATTAAAACTGTAAAATTTGAGGAGTCATATAATATAAACATATTGTGTGATTAATATTTTAGAAATAAAAAACTAAAAGTATTTTTAAATTTTTTAATTTACCTTGACTCTTCTTAAAAAAAAAAATTTTACTTTTTCTGTGAAACTTACGTTAGAAAATTTCTTAAAAAAGCCCTTTTCAAAAACAAAGAAAAGAAAAAAAATATGTCTGGAAAAATGTTTTTCAAAAACCGTCATTTGCTTATAATTCAATTAAAAAAGTTTTATTTTTTATATTATATATACGCAAAAAAGGGGTTTAAATAAATAAATTTAAAAAAATTTTGAAAGGCTAATTTAAAAATTATTTTTTGGGGGTATCAGTTAACAAATTTTCACTAGAAATGGTCACATAAAATCATTTTTTCTGTTCTAAGTTGATGTATACCAGTTTAAAAAAATTCAAAAATGGATGTCAAGTTTAAGTGAATAAAATGTGAAGGGCCTGCGTGCTTAATCTTTATATCTGAATGTAAAAACAACAAATTAATCTTTTCCAAAAAAATTTTATTTGAACACAGTCTTCGAAATAAACATAACAATATATAGTCATTTTAGAAATGTTTTTATATTGATAATGTTTCTGTTACTCAATGACCATGACTGTTAGAACATGTTGTCATTGTCCCTATTTTTAAAGTGTAAAAGATGATGGTAATTTATTTTATCAGTGATGTTATACATGTATTCTAAAATAATTGTACTTAAGGATAACTGTCTAGTCAAACAGTTGATGTATTTATTTATAAACTGGTTTTACTTACCTCTATCTGGATCATCCTAAAATATAAATAATAATCACTAATGCACCATACGATAAAAGACGAAAGCAAAATACACAATGAATGTATTGAATTTCATGAAAATACTTTCCGTTATTTAACAAATGTTTGAAACTAATTTATATTTGGACGAGCAGCAAGTAAGGTGCCTTCTATCGGCCGAGCCATCGGAAATGTTTGCGTAGTTCCAGAATAAGTATTTTCAATTAAAACTTATCAAATTTTATTTCATTCCGATTACTATAATGGCATGCTAATGGTTTTTAATCACTGGTTAAAGACTTACAGTGTTGTTTTCTTGTGGTGGTAAAAATGGACCCATATTACCTGGCAGATTCACATTCTTAGCATTCACCACTGTGCTTTGATTCTCTATTTCGTTTATATTTTTGTATACTGTCACTCCTACAGGAAACACATATTAAATATTAACACGAAAATAAATTATTTTTAACTATTGGACACACTTTGTACTCAAACATTTCTTAAAGGAAATATTTCAGATAATAATACAGAGATCTTGTAAAATAGACTCTTTTGCAGGACCTTCTTAATCTGGATAAAACAAAAATGCTATAATTTTTATTTTGTTTTTAAAGCATATTAAATATAAAAGTTGTATTGTAAAATTTGTATTCGTTGATGCATTGTAAAAAATAAAGTACTTTTTCTGTTGTTTATTTTCAATCATTAATAATGTTATATAACGTACAATACTTACTTGGTTTCGTCAAGACAAAACACAGAATCACGGAAACAAGCACTATGACGACGAGGACGACCACGACGCTGATCACTGTAAACATGAATATAAATAAATGGAGTAGTTTGATAATACTTAATAATAATTTTTACATTTGTCTCAGTTGTTTTCTTGATATTCATTCTTGATAACATTATGGAAATTTGTTAAACTATAACTTTAATGCAAACGTCTTAAAAGAGTTTACAAATATTATTTTATCTACTTTTGCACTTTCAACTTGTTTAGTCCTTAAAGAAAAAAAAAATGAATTTTAAAAGATGTCAAATATGTAAATATGCATATATTCAACATTTATATTGATGAGTTGAATAGGGCCGTTTTTAAAACTTACAGACAATGGCCCACAAAGGAAATTCGGAGTTCTGGTTATCATAATAGTTTGTTACATTGTCTTTATCATCTGTTATCGGTGGTCTCCCTGTAGAATATAAGTAAAAATTTGTAAAAATAAACCGCATACAGGTATTGTAATCCACGCAGCGGTTGTTTAATGTGGTCCTGTTTATTTTCATACGAAACATTACAGGAGGTAATATTCTTAGTGTAATTATTTTTCAATTTAAGTACATTGTTTCAAGTACTTTTATGCATTTTTCATTCAGTATTGTATTTTTGCTTCCTTTCTTTCAGAACTCACTCCAGATTTGTTTTGTTTTGAAATTGAGCCACTTTCCCACCGCTATAACAAAGTCAGTATAATTTGTAACCAAGTGCTATTTTATAGATTTTTGTTATTTTCCAAGAAAGACAACTATGTCGATCTTGTTTGATTCTATCTGTAGAGCAATAACCACATTTAACAAAATAATACTTATACCAAAGTAAAACTACATTATCTCTCTTAAGCAAGCATCACTTCTAAACAAACATAAGCAAACACACCTTGCCCAAACATGTCTATCCTATTGATAGGTTGTACTGTATGAGAGGAATGTGAAATTACTATTGACGGTTGTTAGGTTTTACACCGCACCAACACAGTATATGTCATATTGCGACTGTCTAACTTTACTTGTGGTGGAGGAGAACGTCAGGTACTTTGCCGTGCATTATTTTATGAACGGACTGGTACATAAGTAGAACCACCGACGTTCTGTAAGTTAGTTAGATAGCTTCATCACATGAATGAATCCAAAGTCCATGTCAGAAATCGAACCCACAGCGGCAAGGGTAAAGTGGTTTGAAGTCAACGACTTTAATCACTTGGTCATGTAAGTCCCCTATAATTCATATCAGTTGTCAAAATAACAATCATTTTCTGACAAAGTGAGATTCATTTAAATCAAGGCTTGATTATACTTAGAGAACCATATGTAAGTTACCAGTTGTCTTTCTCGTCTTTGGCACTGTTTGTGTGTTAGGGTATAGATACGTGGTTGTTAATGATGCTTTCGTAGTGGTTGGACGTGATGGCAATTGTTCTTTCGTAGGATAGATGTTGGTCCTATTTTATAAAAAATACAAGTTAATGTATTCGTATTCATCTTTGAATTAATTAAATATTAACTTGTAACATTTAAGATTATACTTTAAGTTAATAGATTTAGCAAATTGATACAAACATATATATAATCGCAAAGAAGAAATTCAATTGAATAAATGCATAATAATTATTGGTGAGTCTTTTGACACAAACGTTTCCTAATTAACAGCTTTGCATTACCTTTTAACAATATGTCAGTAAACTTTACTTATAGCTCTGTATTATTGCACTGGTGAGATTATCTACGATTTATAGATATATTTATATCTTGATTACGATACATGTTTCAAATAAGTTCTAACTAAAGTAAGACTTTGAAATAACAAAAGAAACTGCAAAAGTTAATTAACCACGTGAATTATACAGCCTGCCAAAAATTATGTCACTTTCTATTTTTAAAGATAGAAATTCACTTACGTTGGAGTACAAACAAAATCAGGTGCATTCCTCTCGAACCAAGTATCACATATGTCAACACATGTGCCATCTGAAATTAAAACGTAAGTACTTCATTTATCACTTTTCAAGCCATACAAACTAGTTTTCTTGCAGAGGAAGAAGCTTCATAACATTTCTATGATTAAATGTGTCTTTATAAAAGAGACTGCATAAGTATGAAGAAATAACAATGTTCATATAATACGTTATGTTTATCACTTTTATGGTTACCTGGTCATCATAAAATAGTTCAAAACCCCATTAGTTGGTAGTATTTCATAACGTTTACAAGAAGGAAACTGAATTGCATGTGTTGGCATTGTTATTTCAAAAAGAGTATTATGGTCTGGTTTGAATTACTGTATTATAAGCTTAAATAATCCGAGCTGTTGCTAGGCGTTCATACAGAGCCGTATAAACTGTTATTAAGAATAAATTTACATTTCTGTACCACTGTTTTCTTTGTTTTAGATAATTAAAGTGAGGATCACGGTTGTCTAATTTAAACGTGCAGGATTATGAACATACATGTATATCATTATATAAGTTTGAATTAAGAATAATAATCAAATAAAAAATGTTATACTTGGAAGAGGTTGTTGCCTTTCTTTGCAAGGATTATAATCGCCAACATAGTCGCAAAAAAACGGATCATGTAGTTCTTCTTTGTCGTAATCCAGTAGAAAATTGCCGGCTCCGTTGAAGTAGCCCAGTTGAAAATTACAATAAACTTGGGTAGGATTAGTTGTGTTGCCAACGGAATACACAACGTATTTTTCTGGGATATCTTCCAGGTCTCTATGTTCGTCTACACATGCGTGAATGCAGTCAGATTCATAGGACTGGTATGTTCGGCCTGGGCAATTATCCTCTTGGAGCAATATTTTTCTCGGATAATTGATATCGATACCCGCCTTGTAATACCGACCTAAAATGTAATATAATGCGTATGAAATGAAGGTAAAATGTTGTTACAGAGGTAATTAAATTTATGTAGAACTAATTACTTTATTCGATAATTTTTATTTATATTTATCCAACTAAGGGTGTTAAATGTATGCATAAGTAAATGCATTCATCATTTTATAAAAAAAAAAAAAATACTTGGAAGATATAGTTGTAATAATTTGAATATTTTATCTTAATACTATGCTCCTTTTGTTTCTTTGGCTGAATGTTAACGTTATGTAAATACTATATTAAACAGCGTTTATTTAAACTGGCATGATGCCAACCAACTTAAGCATTAATGTAAGTGTACAGGTCAAATGATAAAGTCTTTATAGAAATTATAGGTATATTGTTTTTTTGCAAAACTTTCATTCTGAGAACAATAACAATTAAGTGTAGACAGTATGGTATGCTTTTCACGTAACAATGATACTTAAGTTCTTGTGTAGTCCATATTATCACTTTATAATTTCATTTTTGCAGGAAACAGTTCATTATTCAACTTTATCAAAACATCAAATAGTTTGACATAAATTTTGTCACAATTATGGATTTAGGTTGTAAGTCATAAGTCAGAAATTTTAGTACTATTTTACAAAATAAAAGAAGAAAATACCTTAACAGAATACAAATCAATCAATTGTTATATCTAAAACCAAGATTCATATTAGATAAGGTACCTTTTTGGCATGATAAATTCTTTTTCAAGCACACGAAGGCACCAAATTCATTAGTGTTGATACAATATGGCTTTTCACCTTCATCACATAGGTCTGAGAAATCGCAGCTGTCTGTCAAGAGTTGAAGGTCATTCCCATTGGTGTGACAAAGTTCCTTCAATGAATACAAGTTGTCCATGTTACAGTATTTAGATTCCAGCAAATCTTTCGAAAACATCATTGCATCTTCGTTGCGGGGAGCTGCATTTACATGGCCTATGGTTAAGAGGAAAATCAGGACCTGAAAAGAAGAAATATCATATTATTAATTTCAACCTTGGTATAATGCACCCTTATGAAGCCATAAATATTGCTGTAGAATTTTTTTTCTTTATAACATTAAATTAATTATTAAATTACATTTAAATTACTGGTTTCTAAGTTAACGCTTTAAGAAGAGATATTAGCGTCAGAAGTTGATATTACATTACTGTTGTTACATGTTTTCTTACCATGAGTATTTTATCCAAAAATAGTTTGGGTTTCTTTCTTTTTGTGCGTTTCGAACTATTCTCTTCTTGTATTTTTTCTGCTGGTTTTAAGTCTAAATGATCCTGATATCAAAACATAGACAACAATTAGATGGACATACAAGCCACTAAATACGCAAAAGAATATTGATGTTCCGTTATATTCAAAAGGAAAATTAATTTAAAGTCCATTATCTATATCTCGTTATGATAACCACTGATTTTAATAATGAAGCAGTGGTATGGTATATCTCTTTTATGGTTAAGTTAGATTTAAATAACTTATAAGGGCTTATTTCAAGATCATTGAAAAAGGTGTTGAAATATCTAACAAAATTTTTTATGCAAGATCGACAGAGTTGTCTCTCTTATTATAGTATAAATATTATATTACTTTTATCATTTAAGTGATAGTAATACAAAATGATTTTTACCTGATAAATGCGGAAGCTTTCCGAAAAATCTGAATTGTCCTCTTTTTTGCAACTATTTGTGTCTGTGACTGACTTTAGGCGGCTGAACTGAACTTTTGCTTTTTAAGAAGAAATAAATAAATAGTAAGATTTAAGTGGCATTCAATCTCAAAACTTAATACGTCAATTAAAACGATAGGTTTTTATATTCAGCCTTTCAGACAAATAACATTAGATTTACCTTGAAAAAATGTATGTTCAGTAATTGTAAACGTCAAGAAACATTGCCCACATTAGGTACATTATATGATAGCACTCTTCCTGTTTTGAAATAAAGTCAGAATTGTTTTGCATGGTAAATAGGATTTTATTTGTAAGTTGTTCACATTTTACATTCTGCCTTTCATTTAGCAAAATAATTAGTCTTTTGATTTAAAATATAAATATTCTTACGTTTGCATATAATTGCAACATTGTTGTTGATTATAAAACCTTTTTGATTTACATAGTCATCCGTATTTTGATAATATACGCAATGGAGCAATCTGTTGATGTCCAGTCCCCTTTCGGTTATCACATATAGTTTGAAGCATACGAGTTTATTCACGCTTGCCGAAAGATTCAAGTTCCCGTTTGAATACTGTGCTATTTGCATTCCTTAAATTGAACAATGTAAATATATTTTTAACATCTCCTTATCAACTAATAGGAACCTATAACAATATTCAAAAAAAGAATTGCGAGCTATTATAGTAAGTAAAGCAGATATGTGACCAAAAAAAAAAACCTATGGTTATCCTTTTTCATCACTATAAGACCTTTATTTATTGCAATCGCCTTCATCTAAACTGTAATCAAAACTTTTGCTACAGTTCCCAGTTTCTTTTCTATATCAATGTTGAGTTAAGTGTATTTGGCATTCATAGCACTTTTGGTTAAAAGGATGTAATCCTGGGTGAGGCTCCGGGCACTCGTTCCTAATACATGTAAATTGTATGTATGTAAAAATGAACAAAGAAAAACTGATCAATCCGACTGGATAGCTGTGTCGCAATTGCATTTTAAATCTTAATCAATGACCTAATGCTATATTAAAATTGTAATTTACCATTGCAATTGGTACCTTTGTCGAAATCGTTTTGTTTCCATCTATAGATCTCGGCTATGCTCGCTGATATAGACACTGATGCTGATACACTGTCAAGCAATACCTGTTTATAAAAAAATATCGGAAAAATGAGAGGAAAATGTTTATGTGTTAAAATTCTAATTTTACATGTTTTTTAATACATCACAGATGAATATTTTTTACTGTTAATGGCATGCTTGCAAGCATTTAAAGTAGACAAACAATGTCTCACAATCAATTAATACTTTGAAATACGTCTATTTATACCTGCTTTTATTTAGATTTACCAAGAAATAAGATACAGGTTATAGAAGGAAATCAAACTAAGGGCTCAGAATATGAAATCTCAACAGCTAAAAGCAGACAGTATACAAAATGAACCTGAATGCAAACAATTGTTGGGTCCGGTGTCTTATCGTCTTTTTCCGTATTCCGTTGCAGAAAGACTTTGATACCATTGCATGTCCTCGCAAACTTCGTAACTATGTAAGCCAGATAGAATAAATAAACAATAAGTTTCATCAGGAACAAAGGCTCTATATAGAGAAAGCAAATTTTACAGAACACAACAATCATATCACATTATATTTACAAAAAGAACGTTTATACTGAATTCGTTTTGAAATATAAGTACACAGAGTGCATAGTCAAACAATATTAATAAAAGACGATAAACAACGAAATAAAGGAAATAATTTATTCTATTTTTTTGTTTCAACATGCGTTCATTGTTTTAAATACTTAGCCTTATAGAAAGTATAACAACAAATACTTTTAAAAGATATAAACAGACCTGAAACATTCCATATGTTTGATAATACTTTTAAAACTCGCTGTTTGACCTAAAACAATAAAAATAATGAAAACGATTCAAAATGGTTATATGGTTCGAATAAGACTTGTTGAGAAAAAAAAAGTTAAAATAAAACTTAAATGTCTTTCAAAGCGCGTTTAGCCATTTGTTTTATTTGTTAAAAAGCATATTATGATTTGCATTACTCGTTGCATTTGAAATGTTCGTTCCATACCATTTCTAATTTAAAATTAACTGCTGCAAACGAAGATTTGTTTTAGCTATTAACACTTTCAAATTCATTTATCTTTTAGAAAACATGAAACTATAGCATTTCCGAAAAGATACTTATAATATAAGAGAGAAAAAAAACACTTTACCTTTTGAAGTATATCAGTATATGACTTTCTTAATCTGCACACTTCTACGAGTGTCTGAGGGCAATGCTCCTGGATAAACTTGTTATAACTTTGATCTGTGTCAGACATCATGTACACTTAAACGAACTTTGATGAGACATAAATGCTATTGTAACACCATCTTCAGGCTTGATAGACGTGATTTTAGACAATAAGATTGTTTATGCTGAAATACAAAGTATCAATTATAAAGAACACATTATAGAAATGCATCACATGGAAATTCATAAAAATTGATATAAATCAAATATAAGCGGAAGGCAAAAATTCCTTACCTGTCTAATTCTAATTATCAGATAAGTGGATACTATAAGAATTTCACCACAACATACATGACATATGTGTTAAGCACAATGTTTGTGGTTAAATATAAACTTTTAAATGCTTAGTTTAAAATAATTCATATACAAACTATTGTATTTCTTGTGTCCCTGCTAAGCGAGATTGTTGTTATTGCTTCCCTTAAGGATGTTTGTATTTTAATGTACCAGAGAACAAGCTTCGAAATGGTGTCCTCTAAGGAGTTTCAATGGTTGTGGGTATAAATAAACTTTTAAATGCTAAGATTAAAATGGTTGATATACAATAGTATTGTATTTTTTTGGGTCTCTGCCAAGGGAGATAAATTATGATTCAAAACTTGAATGTAAAGTGAGTTACTCCCCTTGCAAGATTCACTGATACACACGCAGAATTTTTAAGTTTTAACCACTCATTATTATTTCTTATAAATCTGTTTCACTTGATCATACTTGATGTTAGAGTTCATTTTATTATGTTGTCTGCTTTTGTGCATGGCTTTTGGCTTTTGTATGCACCACATTCTCTTGGTACATTGGCTGGGTTAAGCTTACTTTATCATTGTATACACACCGGTCCCGGTGTACACAATGCTTTCTTTATTACATTGTTTAATCACTGTGTAAATATGTTACGCTACTTTACTGATGTACCAAGCCAATTATATATGTCAATTTTATTTAATCGTCATTTATAAATGTAAATAAATGTTAAAAGCACAATACAATTGTTGATGTTGCTTCTCTTAAGCATGTTCGTATTTTAATCAATGTACTAGAGAACAAACTTCGAAATGGCAGAGTTTCAATGGCTGTGTGTATAAACTGTATCGACGAAGGGAGTCACATGACCTGAAGCAGGTTCCAGCGTTTATCTACATTTAAACTTGATACACATTTTTAGCAGTCAACAAAGTAGGTGATAACTGATAAATAATTGTATCCATGAATTCTTATAAAAAGAACAGACACTGCAAAAATTAATTATCAAAAAATATTATTAAACTTTAACTTTAAAAATAATTATAGTACAGTAGACAAATTTGTTACTTTATTAAAAGAGATTATAGTGTAATAATAAGACAAATTCTGTCAATACACACTACGTAATATCATAACGTGTTTTTGTTTGAGGTCCTGTAAAAATTAAAAATAAACAATTAAATATGGTTACTTTTAAATAAGACGATTTTATCTAAGGAAAGAATCCGGTGTCATCTCCTATAAACAGATCTTAACATTTAATTTATCAAGATTTGTTAAGGGCATTTCCTAGAAATATGTTTTATTCAATACAAAGTAGACAGGAAACTTGCAGCCTCTGCAATATATGTCAGTGTTTTCCTGGACGACATTGTCCTAGGCGAAATCTATATATAAAAAGTGATGAGACTCAAACAGCATCTTCTGGTTGAGGGGATAGGGTGCATGCCGAGATTCAAGTTGACTGGAGTAGTGCTAAATCTGTTTTAACAGAAACTTTTCTTAGCTTTAACCCTAGAATGTATCTGAAATTGTTTTATATTTGGTTTTCAAATAAGTATTTTTCTTTCTTTTCATTAGTCCTTAAACTACTTGTTCAAATAATACATGTTTATATCATACTTTTGTTGAAAAAAATGTTTTACTTACATTTATGAAATTGAAGCATGGAATAATTATCATCAAATTGTTGGCCTTAGTATTAAAAAGTTAACTATCAACCCCTACTGTAATGTATAAACGAAGACCAATTTCATTTTTTCTCAAAAATTTGACTATTGAATTTAGAAATCAATATCTGGAAGCTATGTTGATAAACAAAAGTGAAAACTTAAAAAATAATGACAGCATCCCTTGTCAGAAAGTTTCGATTTTTATTATTCTTTTATAAGTACTTCAAATTAGATTTTGTGTCGTTTCAGATAAAGCTGTTTTCTAAGGTATCACACATCGAGTTTATATATCTGTACACATACTGTGTATGTCTTTAATCATCTGGGCATTTCATTTCAAAACTATAAACATGGTTTTTAAATAACTTGTCAATAAAGATTTATAAGAATAACCACAAAAAGAAGTTATCATTACACTTGTTTTGTGCATGCTACTATATGTGTTGCTTATCTTGTCATATTTTTTATGTAGGATGAAAGATCAACTTTGTTTATGTGAAATAACAGTGAATGTTGACAGAATTTTTTTGTGTGCAAAATATTCTTCAATAGGACTTCTCCAAAATTGAGAAACATTCAGTATATTATTCCTACATGCATGGCACCATAGTCATGATTTTCCTGCAATTGCCCTTCTTCACTTCACACTTTAAATTTAAAAGCAAATGCTTCAAGTACATTTGTAGAAACAAATGTGTAACCTTAAGTGTAAAAAGATAAAGCCTTTATCATGAGTCCTTTCTTTTTCTTTAACTTTTTAATAATTATTTTAATCCACAGGTTTTAACAGTGTTTTGGCTATGAGCACTTTATTCTAAAGACATATTTATAAACACAGTGGAAATTATTAATGGATAATTGTAACCTGGAAATAGACCTGTACTGTTATCAGATACTTGAGCTTAATCAGTAATTAATGTGGTCAAGATGTGTGTTTTTCTTCTTTCTCCATGGTGAAGTGTAGTATTTTCAACAGAAATTTTTATTGTTCTCACTCTTTGATAATTATTTGACATGAAGAAGTCCACTTTTAGACAGACCTTCATAGCATGGATAGAAGTAATCTTCCACAAACACACCTCTAGTAGCTTTCCATATACATGAATATTGAGTTAAGAAGTCAGAATAGAATAGGGTAGTATAGAGAATGTATCAATGTATGAAGTAGGTAAACACATAATCTTTAAGTGAATTTAAATACCTGACTTCCTAGGTAGTTTTCATGTCAACAAGAGGAGTAATGACATGTATTGATATTATTTACTAGTAAATATTTTCTGTATAAAAAACATGTACTTAAAACTGTCAACACTAACCAATTGAATAATAGGAAAATATATGTTAATCTTATAAACCTTTGTTTATGGTTATCTAGAAAAAACATTATTTTACCCGATTAATATCTGATAAATATTTCTATGATACATGTTTGTATTTAAAATTTAAGTAAATTGATATTATCCATACATATTTTTTGCTGCCGAGTTAAAGTAAATTAGTTATATATTTCAAGATATTGGCAATGAGATTGATAATTGACTAGTCATTGATGATAAAAACATTTATGATACAATATTAAAACATCATAAATTGAGCGTTACCGATACATTCGGTACGATATTTGTAGCAATTTTGTTGGTCACGTGGGATATTGATTATTATTTTGTCACAGTAAGATAAAAAATTGAAAACAATTATGTCGAAATGTAAAGTTATTTTCATTTCTCACTGTTCAATGACCATTTGCATTTGAATGGGCATAATTTAACTTTAATAATATGCATGTAGTTACGTAACTGATAATTATGATTGACTGTTTCCATCACATGGATATTCATAAATATAAATCAAGTTGTTAACACAAGCCATATATCCCTGACCTGTCTAATTCTAATTATGAGATAAGTGGATACTATAAGAGTTTCGTTAACAAAATAACGCATGTCAATGTTTGTGGTTAAATCTATTGCTATTCAAATAAAAGGTCAGAGTAGGAATCTATCAAGGCGTAGATGAAAAAGATAAACGCGCTATCAATTGAAACTATTTACACGGTCCTTGTAATACATTCATTGTTAAGGAGTGTATCTGTTTACACGAAATACAGGAGAATTATAGTTATGATAAAAGCATATATTTAATTTAGATTAGACTTTACAATGTCTTCACATTGCACTTAAAGCACATTTCTGATATAATCAAATATTCTATGTATGACTAAATTATTAAATATGTAGGAGCGCCTTATACTTGTGCATATATTGATTTAATACTGTGCACTATCTTAGCTAACGACTTAAACATGTAATTTATGCAAACTGAGGTATTTTGTATTCCTATACACTATCTCCAAATTTAAGACGTCCACAAGATTTTAGAATAAAGTATATATCTTACTCTGTTTATCTGTTAATTGTGTGCATAGCTTCTAATGAAATGTGCCGGAATTTGGAAATAAATTAAATTACGTCTTCATTGTATAAATCTATCAAATTTAGACCAATACGTTCCTAGCAACATAATGTACTTATCAGTAAAACAAATTTTTAACATATAAGTCCAGTAACTGATTAAAGGTACGAACTATTAATTTTCTTTACGTTTTGAAATATAATTATTCTTAAAGAGAACAAAGTCTGGTGCTCTATTTATAAAACTGCAGAATTTTTCTACTGAATAGAAACTGTATTACGTTATGCCTTTTAAACTTTCAAATATTTTTCCATCTCTACATAACAAAACAAAAGAAACATTGTTGAGTAAAAATCACTTTTAAAATCACTTACCGAGTAATCTCCAAATTGTTACTTCCATGTGAACTCAAACTGCGTAATAAGCATATTACTTAAATCTATTAAAACGCCATGAAATTTGTTCCTTATCATGATAGATTACGTGATATATTAAACTTAATCACGTTAGAAACAGAGATTGTTATAAAATTTCAAAGTTGATGGTTAGTTTATATCCCGAAAAAACTTTAGTACTTTTCATAGAGATAGTCTGGTATACCTGCCCTTTTCTCTCCGCTCACTAAATTTTATAGTACGACGGGAACCAGACTATTCATTCGGATCATCTTGCACAAGTTCCACCACGTGACCATGATGTAATATTATATTTTGTATTTTATTAATGAAACGGATTTATTTGTGTTGAATTATAGTCATATAATGATTGGAAAATTTGTAAATTTACAAATTATCATAACAAAATCAGAAAAATTGTCAACAGGTATGTCTTTTGTACTTTCGGTTTCTAAAAATATACTAATCAGCAAATAATGCATACTTTACTTTGATTCTTTAATTCAACGTTATAATAAAATAAACTTGCAAAACTGATACCTACATTTATATACTATTTGTTTACATGTTAAAACTGTGTAGATTAGACCGATAATTGTGTTCCTAGGTATTTATCGAGCGATTTACACATTTTTACATACTCATAGGGATTCCATATATGAACAGTTATAGAATGTTAGCATTGCCTAATACACGTGCAATATTACTTGTTGCCATTATTTGGTTTCATTAATTGATTAACTAACAAACACTTTCGACGATGAAAAGTAGTTTCAGAAAAGAGTCTTAATCGTGTTTGGAATTTGGCGTCTTTTTAGTTCTAAATATATACACTATATATATTTATAGTTATCACATAATAACAATTTTAAATAATTGTAAACATAATTCAAGAAGATAACAAGGTAAAGTATTATGTCTTTATGTTTAAAATTAACATTTCTGGAAACAATTTGAGCAAAACGATATTTATCTATTATTTAAAAAGAAAAGTATTTTAAGGGTATAAATGTATATGTAATAATATGTTTTTAACATTAATTTACAGTAAAAAAATATTAGTTACATAGATGTATGGTCGATTTTCGAAAGAGTTTTAATTGGAATGTCTTTGTAAACAAAGTAAAATGTTTCGGAACAAAATATGTTGCTGTTATATGAGTACGGTTGTTAATAATGATTTCGTGTATGCGCCATTCACTCTCATATATTTTCAAAATTCGGAAAATAATTTTTGCAGCAGATATATAGCTTTACGCACATTAATTCCATTAGTAAGTCAGAAGACAATTTGCTACATATTTCTTTGTAGTAAATATGGATAATATTTTTTCTAGCCGGTAAAATGATATTGAACATAAAGATATATTGTTTGTACTCAACACATTGACTATAATAATGAGCTAAAGTTAAAAGCATTTTAATTTTCATCTGAAAAAGTAAAAATTCAAATAAGAGGTACATGTCATGTTGCATTTTCACGGGCGTCCGTAGCCGAGTTTTCAAACAACATGCCCCTCACCGCTATGGTTTCGAATTTAACAAGGGACTTTGGATATTTTTACGCGAGGAAGATTTCCAGCTGGCTTACCAAACGTCAGTGGTTCTACTTATGTTATTGTTTTTGCCAGAAATAATTCATGTAGTGATATATGAGGTCTTCTGCCATCAGTAATGCAGGAAAGTCGCTATATGACCTTTATTTTGTTGGTGCGACGTAAACCCCAAGCGAAAATAAATGTATCATTTTTTGAAACTTAATCATTTCTCTCTGTGTTATATGTCAGGAGTGTCATAGTCATTACGTAAATTTCATGAGTTCCTTTGTTTGTTTTCATGAGATAGACATGTGGTAGACATTTATATCTAATTATTTTAAAATCCGCCGATGCATGACAAAGTTACAATCAGGACGTAAATGTGTGTACCTTTAAGTTCTACTTGTGATAAAGTGTAATTCAAAATGGTAATGTGACATTGACTTTGTGTGGTAGGGACGATATTCTTAAACGTGACACATTGTCTTGCTGTGGTAGACATTTATGCCAAGTTATTCTAAAGATTCTTCAATGCATGACGAAGTTACAGTCCGGACACAAATGTGTGTACCTATAAACTCTTATTGTGATAAAGTGAAACTTCAAAATGTTAGTATGACCTTGACCTTTAAAGAAGGGACATAATTCTTAGACGCGACACATCATCTTGATGTGGTAGACATTTACGCCAAGTTTAAAATCCTTCAATGCATGACAAAGTTACAGCCCGAAGACGAAATTAACCCTCATATTGATAATGTGAAACTTCAAAATGCTAGTGTGACCTTGACCTTTGAGGTAGGGATGTAATTCTTAGACGCCACACATCGACTTGATGTAGTAGACATTTATGCCAAGTTATTTTAAAATCATTCAATGCATGAAAAAGTTACAGTCCGGACACGAAGATGTGTACCTATTAATTCTATTTGTGATCATGTGAAACGTCAAAATGTTAGTGTGACCTTGACTTTTGGGGTAGGGACCTTGTTCTTGGACGCGACACATTGTTTTGATGTGATAAACATTTATGCCAAGCTATTTCAAAATCCCTCAATGTGTGACAAAGTTGCAGTCCGGACACGAATGAAATGGGGACGCACAGACAGACAGGCGGAAGGTGCGATTTTAATATGTCGCCTTTCGGGAGCATAAAAATAATTCATGCTTTACTTTGATTTCTTTTATTCAATGCTACATTGAAATAAATAAATACCTGCATGTATATACTATTTGTTAACATGTTAAAACTGTGTAGTGTAGATTAGACCGAATATCGTGTTCATGATACCGTGTTGAGTTATTTATCCGAAGTTGTACGGCAACAGCCGAGGAATTACGAATGTGATAACGATTTACGCATGTTTCAAACTTATTTGTAACGCGATCATGGGGATTCCAAATACGTAATCATATATATAAATAGTTTAAGTGTATTTATTTTCAGAAATAATTGTGAAGCATTGCCTAATACACGTGCAATATTACTTGTTGTAATATTTGGTTTGAATAATTAATGAACAAACAAGGACTTTCAATCTCAGAAAGGAACTCGGTTTTGTTTGTAAGTTGACTTCTTTTTACTTCTAGATATATACAAGCATTATCATAATTATTATGATATTTTTTTTAATTCGAACGAATAATAATGTATAGTATAATATCTTTAAATATCTTTAAAAATTAACATTTCTGGAAACAATTTCAGCGAAACGTTATTTATTTATTATGCCCCCATTTCGAAGAAAAGGGGGTATATTGCTTTGCACTTGTCGGTCCGTCGGTCCGTCGGTCCGTAGACCAAATGGTTTCCGAGTGATAACTAAAGAACCCTTAGGCCTAGGAACTTCAAACTTGGAATGGTGATTGGTCATGACCAGTAGATGACCCCTATTGATTTTGGGGTCAAGGGGTCAAAGGTCAAGGTCACATTGACCTTGTAAGCAAAAACGGTTTCCGATCAATAACTAAAGAACCTTAAGGCCTAGGAACTTCAAACTTAGTATGGTGATTGGTCATGATCAGTAGATGACCCCTATTGATTTTGGGGTCAAGGGGTCAAAGGTCAAGGTCACATTGACCTTGTAAGCAAAAACGGTTTCCGATCAATAACTAAAGAACCTTAAGGCCTAGGAACTTCAAACTTGGTATGGTGATTGGTCATGATCAGTAGATGACCCCTATTGATTTTGGGGTCAAGGGGTCAAAGGTCAAGGTCACATTGACCTTGTAAACAAAAACGGTTTCCGATCAATAACTAAAGAACTTTAAGGCCTAGGAACTTCAAACTTGGTATGGTGAATGGTCATGATCAGTAGATGACCCCTATTGATTTTGGGGTCAAGGGGTCAAAGGTCAAGGTCACATTGACCTCTTGGGTAAAAACGGTTTCTGACCAATAACAAAAGAACCCTTAGGCCTAGGAACTTCAAACTTGGTATGGTGATTGGTTATGACCAGCAGATGACCCCTATTGATTTTGGGGTCAAGGGGTCAAAGGTCAAGGTCACATTGACCTCTTGGGTAAAAACGGTTTCTGACCAATAACAAAAGAACCCTTAGGCCTAGGAACTTCAAACTTGGTATGGTGATTGGTTATGACCAGCAGATGACCCCTATTGATTTTGGGGTTAAGGGGTCAAAGGTCAAGGTCACATTGACCTTGTAGGTAAAAACGGCTTCCGATCAATAACGAAAGAACCCTTAGGCCTAGGAACTCCAAACTTGATATGGTGATTGGTCATGATCAGTAGATGACCCCTATTGATTTTGGGGTCAAGGGGTCAAAGGTCAAGGTCACATTGACTTCTTATGTTAAAACGGTTTCCGATCAATAACTAAAGAACCCTTAGGCCTAGGAACTTCAAACTTGGTATGGTGATTGGTCATGACCAGCAGATGACCCCTATTGATATTGGGGTTAAGGGGTCAAAGGGCAAGGTTACATTGACCTTGTAGGTAAAAATGCTTTACAATCAATAACTTAAGAACCCTTAGGCTTAGGAACTTCAAACTTGGTATGGTGATTGGTCATGACCAGCAGATGACCTATTGATTTTGGGGTCAAGGGGTCAAAGGTCAAGGTCACATTGATGTTGTAGGTAAAAATGGTTTCCGATCAATTAACTAAAAACGCTTAGGCCTAGGAACTTCAAACTTTGTATGATGATTGGTCGTGACCAGCAGATGACCCCTATTGAGTTTTGGGTCAAGAGGTCAAAGGTCAAGGTCACTTTGACCTTGTAAGTAAAAACGGTTTCTGATCAAAAGCTTAAGAACGCTTAGGCCTAGGAACTTCAAACTTGGTATGGTGATTTGTCATGACCAGCAGATTACCCCTATTGATTTTGGGATCAAGGGGTCAAAGGTCAAGGTCACATTGACATTGTAAGTAAAAACAGTTTCTGATCAATAACTAAAGAACGCTTCGGCCTAGGAACTTCAAACTTGGCATGGTGATTAGTCATGACCAGCAGATGACCCCCATTGATTTTGGGGTCAAAGGTCAAGGTCACATTGACCTTGTATGTTAAAACGGTTTCCGATCAATAACTAAAGAACCCTTAGGCCTAGGAACTTCAAACTTGGTATGGTGATTGGTCATGACCAGCAGATGACCTATTGATTTTGGGTCAAGGGGTCAAAGGTCAAGGTCACATTGACCTTGTAGGTAAAAACGGTTTCTGATCAATTAACCATAAACGCTTAGGCCTAGGAACTTCAAACTTTGTATGATGATTGGTCGTGACCAGCAGATGACCCCTATTGAGTTTTGGGTCAAGGGGTCAAAGGTTAAGGTCATGACCAGTAGATACTTGATAACCCTTATTAATTGTTTGATCACTGGGTCAGAAGTCATGCATAATAACCTTATCACATGACTAATTGGCTGCAGATAGGGGGCATACATGTTTTACAAACATATCTTGATTTTACAAAATAGTATTTTGAAAGTCAAAAGATATATGTAATGTAATATGAACATTTACTAACGGTAAAATATTATTCTTTACAAAATTTGTATGGTCGATTTTCGAAAGAGATGTAACATGGAATGTCATTGTGAACAGAGTAAATGTTTCGAAACATAATATATATTTTGCTGTTATTTGAGTACAGTTGTTAATAATGATTGCGTGGATGCGCCATTTACTGTTTACTGTATCTTTTCAAAATTTAAACAATATTTTTGCATTTATACACTTCATTTCCATAAATAAGTCAGAAGACAATTTGCTTAGTACCTTCATATTTCTGTATTGTATAACACAATCATTCCAGCCGATAAAAATGGCATTGAACATGTTTGCACTATACACATTGAATATATGATGATTGAATGATAAATGTAAAAAACAGCAAAATTAAGTTCAATTTAATGATCATCTGAAAAGATAGAATTTCAAATGAGAGATGTATGTCATGTTGCATATTCACGGGCGTCCAGGCCGACTTGACTTCAAACAATTTGACCCTTACCGCTGTGGGACCGAATCTAACTAGGGACTTAATTCGAGGAAACTATCTGGCTAGCTTAAAACGTCGGTGGTCAATCATTCCTGAAATAATACACGAAGAGATATTTAAGGTCTTCTTCCATCAATTATGCTGGAAAGTCGCCATTTGATTTGTTTAATGGTACGACGTAAAGGCCCCAACCGAAAATAAATGTAGCATTTTTGGAACTTGATCATTTCCAAACCTGTGTAGTATAGCGATACATTTTTGACAGCAATTACACGTGAATTACCTGACTTCCTAGTTAGTTTTTCATGTAAATAAGATGAATTATGACAGGTATAAATATGATTTATTATTTAACGCAATATAGATAATATTTTCGGTTAAAACAACTAATATAAATAACCAGAAGCTTAAATTTGTCGACACTAGCCAGTTCAATAACAGTAAATTATAATTATGTTAATCTATTAAATTTTTATGTTTTTTGCTATCCAGAAAAGTTTCATTTACCCGTTTAATAACTGCATAACACCTACATAATGCATGTTTGTATTTATAATTTGATTGAAGTGATATTATCCTCAATTTTCGCAGTCGAAAAGTGACTTGAATAGTTGCTATTGTAATTATGATTAATTAATAATTGATCATAAAAAAATTATGATTACAATATAAAAAGGTACATTACTAGAGCGTTACAGATATTTGAGTGATATCTGAGTGATATTTTTAGAAATTTTCTATGGTCACGTTGATTATTGACTATTATTTTGATTAATTTTGTTAGTAAAATAAAATATTTAGCACATTTATACCAAAATTTTATGTTATTTTTATGTCATAAATGTTCGCTATTCATTAATACTTAGATAAGCATGTCACTTTAATGGTATAAATAATAGATGATTTTGACTAACAGTTTTAAAAGACCTAGGTCATCTATGTGAAAAGTTCAACTTTTGATGTATATGTGTTATTAAACGTCAGTGTAGATTCTTTTAACACACTTTTGTAGAATTGTTTATAATATTTATAATTATAACTAAATTTTCAGTATGTTATATAATGTAGCATAATGCGTTGTATAGAAAATGAAATTGCAAAACATAAAGATTATGAGTTCATTGAAGCAATAATTTAAATTTATTTTTAGTTATGTCCTTTTATATTTATGTATTGCACATGGCAATTGTCACTACGTCCTTAGGTAAATAGTGCGTGTAATTATTTACAAGCAGGACACATACAAAATTAGAATGACAAAGACAAAATTGTGCACCAATTATCAAGATTTGTTACAATGACTTAAATTTAGAAATTGACACGGCAAGTATTATTGTAGTGGGTTAAGCCGAATATTGCATAAATATACCTATGAACAAGACGATTCTAAAACCAAAATGTAATTGTTTTATGGGAATAAAGTAAACCAAACTTGGACATGTAAGAATATGATGATGAAATGTGTTTGGATAGCATCATTTAATTTATCACATATGAATTCGTGACAAAATACTAGAGGGAAAAGTAAACAAAGGAAGATATTTTATATACAAAAAAGGAGATCAAAACAGTAGACAAAATTAATGACTTGAAGACGCCCGCACTACTATTTTTCATCAAATGAAGAGTGAAGTCAAAAGAAGACTCATTGTATCATATTCTATAATACCACAGAGAAAATCAAGATAAGGACAAAGATTTGGTCATGTTATTCATGAGCAATAAAAGTAGAACTTCAGATGGAAAGAAAATACATTTTGGTACATAGATTATGGTCGATGTATAAAAGGAAACTTGAGTCAATCCACGTCAGTGCATAATATAACTGATTGTAAAAATTTAAAAAAAAAACAGATAGTAAATCGGCACATATATCATCACGCAAAGGTCATATAACAATTGGAATTGATATTCTCGAGTAAATATTTGAAATATCGAGCTCTTGGAAAAGAGTTTATACATACATGTAATACATATGGCAGGGGAAACCAGAAGGAACAGGCGTTGCCATAAACATAAGGATAAGTGCTGCTAGTTAGACAAAGACTGTAGTCTAAAAAGAAATGTTTCATAAACTTGACGAGTATGTGTCAACAAATAAAGATAAGATATCAAAACACAATATAGTGTATATACTTGAATGGAAGGCAAAGTTGATTGAATGTTCAAAGGCAAAATCAACGAATCTTTATAAAGTCAAACAGACAGATATAAATGGTAGTGAGACGAGTAAATATATCGAGAATAACAAAATATGCTCATGACTATTGTATCAAAAACGAAGAAAGGTTTTGTCTATTTGTATAGCTCTTAAGGGGAGCGAGAAACTACAAGTTGTCTTTAGATTTCACATGGGAAATGTAAACAAGAACAAGTAATGTACATAAATATTTGGACAGCCAGGAAGAAATAGAAAACTTTATTACTGTAACGAATCAAATCTGGATCTAAAAACTGTAGGATGCTTTAGAATTGACATCGGACTGTCTAAGAATAGGACGCTGTTGTTTTGTGCAGGTTTCTTTTGTCATATTCTTAAAAAGATGATATTTTACCATTGGATTATATAACCAAATAATTATTGATTCAGATATCAAGGTGTGTTTTAATCTTAGATTACCCTTGTGCGATTCAGTGTAGTAAAGCTATTAAATTACATAGATCATTAAAGATATAAAAAGCAAAAATCTATAAAATTTTACAAGTATTCATGTAACGCATGACTTGTCATTCTAAAGAACTATCAATGTTTATTTTGTTACAAAATGTGGGGTACTGTTTAAAATTTCCTTTTGTACTGATTTCTTTCTTTCTTTTTTAAGTAATAACCTATTAAATCACTGGTACAATCATGCCCGCTAAAAATTAATTCTCAACCAAAAGATGGAAGTATACCAAATTAATATTAATTAAGAAATTAAACGAAAGGACAGATATTTTTATGCATTTAACAAGCTCTTTCTAACACCTGTAATTTTCATAAGGCATTGAAGAAATACTACGCTCAAATTTTCTATTTGAAAATACTGATTCTTGCTATACAGTCTTATCATAAATGAAAAATTACATATTGTGAAAATACACACAGAGAAGATAATTATGTTACGTTTTGAACTTGACATGCTTAGCCCAGTATGAATACATAGTGTCATTAAAAATCTGGCAGTTGTTTTTGTTTTGTTTTGGGTTTTTTTAGGAAAACGTCAAATTAACTTGACTAATAAATAGGAAGGCAGCTTCTCATGTATAGTTTGTTCATTCATTTATTCAAATTAGACATATCTGTAAGAATTTTCTAAATGCAAGGAAAGTATTTTACCCAATTATGAGCAAAGTATATATCCTTAACGTTGAATCTATTTGGAATATCTGCTGTGTTTATCTAATCTCAAAATAGAGTGAAAGATACTGAAAAAAGTGTACAATTAATATATAGAGCTGTAAGAATTCATGTTGAATTTGAAAATGTAGTTAGTGCTGTTCTGCTTTTTGTATCAACCATTTATATTTTCTATATACTGAAATCAATTTGATGATAAATTTTCTGTTTTTGTTGTGATGTAGATTTCAAAAAGTTTGTTTTTATTTACTGCAATGGATGTTACCAATGTGTCATGGTCAAGCTTACAGGAAAGATAAAACTTCATGAAATATATATCAGTATATAAAATTGTCATAACATGTAAGGATTTCAATTACAACACCGAAAACTGCATTTTTTGTAGGTAAAGATCTTTATCTAGACATCATTCATTCTGTTAACGAGAATTCAGTGATTTTTTTGTCTGTCTTTTTATTCCCAAACCAAATGGGTGGGTTTTTATGCGACTTGTAACGCACATCAGTGGCACGGGGTTTGACAAAAGGATTTAATGATTTGATATATTATTATTTTAAGAATTTTAAATGGCATTTTATTGCATATTTGGAAATATAACCCAAATCAAAAGGTGAATACAAATTTATTTCGAATAATAAAAGACAAATATTGATACAACCGGAAAAAAGATAAGCATACCATTGACAGAATTAAAATTGTTACATTTGGTCAAATTGGTCAAAACTTCACTTTTAAATTGTTTTATCGATTAAATATTTGCAAAGATAAAGTTTTTTATTTGCTTTTCTTACTTAATATTCAAAAACATTTTTATTTGTATTGATGTAGGTTTAAGCAGAAAAAAATCATACATTATATCATTTTTTTAAACACAATAGGCACGAATCAAAGTGTTAATTTATATTTTATATAACATCTAAACCGTGTTTTGCTATCAAAGTAAATGATATAACATATTAACAATATTCATGAAAAAGAAAATACAAGCTAGAATATAAACAAAACACAAATTAACAAAATCAGAATAAATGAATTCCAACAAAACATTTTTGTCCATGGCAAAATGTCATATAAAGTCAAATAATTTGGAATTTTCTGCAAACTGTAGATAAGGCATTAGCTTGAAGCTGAATTCTCTCGACTTGAATTAGTATTTTTACATACATGTACTCCCTTTTCGGGTGCAGCAAATAACGATCATACTTCCTACAGTAAAGAGGAGGGCAGCAATAACCATTACTAAAATAAAAAATAAAGGCAAAATAAGGCTATACATGTATATGAATAAATATCATTTGTCAAAAAATTTATTTGTAGTGTTTATAATTTCACACAATCTATGTATATGCATATTTATACATGTATAAACATATTATCACGAATTTTAATTCATTTCCTTCACATTAATATCCATACAGTTTAGCGAAAAATAAAACTTAAAAATAAAACATTATTTATTTACCTATGATTACTGTAACATGCCAATTCTGCGTAGAAGTATTTTCACTTTGCACCGGTGTAATCCATTCAATCTGGAAAATATGGTGTAAGTAAAACGTTAAGTGATAACTTATCCATGAGAGAGTGGGGTAAAATTTTAAAGAGTAAAGTTTATATATATCTGCACACTATCATTTTGACATTTTATAAAGAAAACAAATGTCTTAAAATAATAAACAAAGCCAACATTTAAAAGTATTTCGCAATCGTATCAAGATTACATGCATTATACGGTACTGTACAGTATTGTATTGTCATATAATCATGTTTTCAATTTGAATCTTTGATTTAATGTTAATTAACAGGATTTTAATCACTACCACAAGACGTAATGTACTAAATATAGCTAGTGTGGGATCCAGACAGATGTAAGTTTGCACCCACACTGACTATATCTCATTGCATTATAGTACTTTCTCATGTAAACTATTTCATGTTTTTACCATAAAGACGTACCATGCAAAATGTAAGCACGCCGAATTTAAAACTATTTAAACAAAGCCCAAAGTAGAGCGTAACAAATTGATTTTACTTCCTTTAAAATAAAAATATGCTTACCTCATGCTTGTCGTCTGCTTGAAATCGTTCATATCCTGGGTGTAAAGATTGAAAATAAAGGTTAGAAACGACTTTGTTTATCAACAAATAATAGTGTTTTTTCAACATTGTTTTGGATGGGGTTAGTTCATTATTTTAAAGGATATAAAGCTAAATTTTATGAAATATTGTTACTAAAATTATCAACAGTAAATTAATATTGGTGTGCAATCTTATGGCCAATTCTTGAAAAAAATTGTCATGTAATGTCTCCTTTGTTTGTCAACAACGAATTGTGCCGTTAACAGGGCAAAATGTTCTGATTATAGAACAAATAGCTGCTAATTTTAATAAAGTTATAACTCTTTAGCAATGATTTCGCGCAAGCGCCATTCACTGTAAGCAAATATACATGTACTATCATATTACTTTCATATAAGCATTCTGGACGTATTCCTTTTTTTAGAATTTAAACAATACCTTTTGCAGCAGATATATAGCTTTATGCACTTATTAAGAAAATTAAGTTCAATGAAATACAAAATAAGTCTGAGACTTTTGTGATAAATATGGCCATTATTTTTATGGGCTAAACTTGGTAACAAATAACATTAGATATTTTATAATAGTTATCTCCCTTTGTAATTGTTTATTATTCAATATTAAAATATTTACCATCATCGTCTTTAGAACCACTCTTTGTTGCTGTCTTTTCTGGATTTTCAACGCTGAAAAAGTAAGTAAATTAAAATCATAAAGTTGAAATTAAGGTAATGCAGATAGAATATATTTTACAAAAGTCATCTGTAGAAATTCTAAGACAACGACTAAAGAAATTATTTAATCAATGTAAACCTCTTGTATTAATTTTTACCTACATGTTGTTCTTAGTGCACCTAAAGTTGTCGTAAACATCTCGAGAGTGCCCAGCTTCACACGGCTCAACACACGAGCCATCTTAAATGAAAAAAGAAAACATGACATATTTAGTTTGACCATTAGCACATGTACATTGGCTTGATTCTGTAAACAGAAAATCAAATTTTAAATGTTGCAGGCTCGGTTTGACTAGGCTTGTTCACAGACGGCTCTGGTAATTGCAAGCTACCGTCCAAGACTTTAGCACCTGCTTAAGCAGTATTCAACATTTGGAATGAAATGGTAAAATTTTTAATCATCTGCAGAGACAACTTTTTTACAGCAATACATAACAAAAATATATTTTATTCAACATAGAATTTTGTACAAACAACTTATAGTCATGCAGTTCAAATGCAATGCGGTGTTAAGTGTTATAAAGTAGCATTTTCTACATACAGTAAGTTAGCAGAGAAGTTTTGTTATGACCTTTAAGAATTTGTAAATAACACATTAATGAATTATGTTACTTTAAGCTGACGAAATATTGCATAAAATACTTATACATGTAGACGAATATAGAAACTTTAAGATCGTTGTTAAACGTTGCAATATCTCATCATCTACCCCATTAAACAGCAATTATTATTATTTAGGATGGCATATTCGTTGTACGTTCTAAGAAAATTAGTGCTGTGGTTATCTTTCTTTTATCAGCATGCAAAATGTAAAGTAAAATGAGTGTATATGGATAGTAGCATGGATAATTCAGGTAACTTGCCAGCTTTTAAATTGTTTTGATATTCGTGGTTGACATGAGTGTCTCGAACTGACGTATTGTTGGCCATCTACAAAAGTATGGCTTAGAAAAATAGTATTTAGCTTCTACCAAATTTAATGAGCAATAACGAAATTTTCTGTTTTCTCTTGAAATATCATCGTGCCCTTCTTTTTCTAACACTTAAAAAAATTTTCAAACAAAAATATGTGTTTAAAATGGCTGCAAGATGAAAGTCTGATAGAATTATTAATTTTGGAATACCAACTTTGTTTGTAAATGACTAAAATTCTTAGTTTGGTATCATATATATTAATATTATCTTGTTGAAGCCAGACATCAGGCATTTTATTTGGTTCCGCATATATTGTAGTATTTGATAAGTCCAGTATGATTACACATTATCTGTATTTTTAAGCATGTTGTATACTTTTCTTATAATAGAATTATCGGATGACTGATATGTAGTACTTGAAATATTTTTATCTAATTTAAAGATTAGAATTTCATGGTGTAATGTCGTCGGATATCTACCTATTTCTCCATATGATACATCTAGATTTGTTGATTAACGAATAACGACTTTCGGAGGAATGTACAATGATAATGTTTTGTAGTCATAATATCCAAACACTTCAGTGCTATAATTTAAGACAGATCCTACTAATGTATCAAACAGTTTACAGTTATCTTGAATATATAAATATAGGTGATTAAATACAGTACAAGGTTATGCATTGAAAACAAGATGCTTTTGTGTCTAATACCAATTTCCATTTTTTTTAAACATTCCTTAACATTGAACGGATTTAAGTACTTCTAATGTTCGGCCATTGAAAGGAAGGTTAAACGTTGTTTGTCTATCTAGTTCAAATATAATAAATTTAGTTGTACATGTAGTTGTGTTAACTTGATCTAATTTAACAATACGTATAATTTAACATTGACTGTAATGCAACAGGTGTCTTGGCAAATAAAGCAGTATCATCTGCTATCTCTTTATTATATCGTTCTGCTATTTTAACGCTGCTGTACATGCTTCCATTTGCTTACACATTTTAGGCTAACATTTTCCTGAAAGATTTTTGAAAAATAAACGATCGCTGTAATCATTCAAAGCATTTTTGAAATTCTACAAATTAAATTTTTTTATCAGACAAAGTTTGTACAATTATTTAGTGTAGTATATCTATGTAACCTGTCGTTGGTTTTTTTTTTATTTTGGAATCCATATTGATTAACTATTATAGTTTTATGTTTTATCTTACATAATGCAAGGCGATAAAGTAATACCTTGGAATATATTTTTGCAATTATGTTTATCAAATGAAATTAATATCCCTGTATTTTTGCATCTTCCTAGTCACAGCCTTAATAAATTGGAAACATAATTCCTGATCCCCAATCCCCTGAGAAATAAACATCTTGTTTAAAAGTGTAAGTATAAGATGATGTGTTTCAAGGAATGAAAATATATCTGATATCAGTGTGTCTATTCCATTACTTTTATAATTGTTTTGTGAAAAAAACTGCTTTATGCAATTCCGACATACTAATTTGTTTATCTAAATCTCCATCTATAATATTTTGATTCAAAGGCGTATTTTTCATCTGTCGTTTATGTGTTATACAGTGATATAGATCTTGGGCTGTTGAAGTTTCACATAGTCTTGTTGACTTCGTATTTGATTGTTAGGTTTTACTCGTACATGTATCATTTAAGTTTTACCTCTCATTAAATATATCTCTTAGTTTGTGTTCGTTTATGGAAAATATAATAATTATATTTTTAATTTTATATATACTTAACAAAGGTGAACATTGTTTGTTTACTTTTGTTGTTGTTGTTGTTTTTACAAATGCATTTAACTTTATCATTCATTTTAATATATCTCCCCTTTTTGAATTTAAGCATTCTAGAAATTGAGAAAGTTTTTGTTTTGTCAAATTTTTAAAAGTTTCCCTCTATACTTCTATAGGCGGTGAAATATGATTTTACATGTCTGAAAACTTTTTAGGTGTGGTGAAAAAGAATTTGATACAATTTCAAAGTCATCAGTGTGCATAAACAAAAAATCAAGAGTTAAAGATCCATTGATTGAATAAAAGGTGTACTTTCCTATACCTAAATAATCGTGTAAACGTGAATTAATATTAGATAGACGACAAAATACATCAAGCGTTTACCTGCGTTATATAGGATTTTATCACGGAAAACCCGATCGGTATTTTTACATTATTTGACATAAAATATAGGTCATGGTTAATACATTCATTACATCTAAAAATATATTTTAGGTTAGATGTGCGACAGTTTAGTTCCTAAAAATTGAAACATTTACCCTTACATTTATAACGTTTTAAGCTAGACTCATGTCTATTAATCTAGAATTAATGTGACACGAAAAACCGCGTATTGTAGTCAGTAAAAAGTAAGTAGTGTGCCTTAAATAAAAAATAAATCTGGAAAACCATAAACGGAAATGAAATTTTGAAAATATATCATAAGAGACTGTAAATAGACAAAAAAGCAGGCACATAACCTTGAAGAAGTTTCTTCAAATATGGCAAGGCGGAGTACACCCATACAAAACAAAAGAATGTTTGTGTAAAATTATTTGGTAAAATATTGATAAAATATAATACATATACATACGTATAGCATAATGATATACACCTTTACTATATTTCTATACTAGATCTATTATTTTACGCATATATTAAAGATGTTTTGGTCAGAAATTATTTTAAAAAGGTTGTGGTTTTTATTATAAAATTAACAATTTTGTGAAAGTTCTTGTGAAAATATTTCAATTATTGTCGATTGAAATCCCGAGTAGTTCACGCAAGTTTCACTCGCATACTAGATTACCTCGTAAGATGTTGAAGATAAAAAAATGTGTAAATGTAATAAGACATGTATAATAAACTAAACTAACAGTGTGATCTAGCAATTTGAAAATACATAGTAAGCAGCGTCTGTTGTATACAATTTAAGTTGAAAAATATATAAACATTATCTTACTTACCTGGAAGTGGGGACATTACACCATGGCATGGATTGTGCTCCTTCACATTGGTACACTGGAAAGAGCTGTATGTCATTTCTCTGTCATATCTAGTCAAGAAATTCCCATTTGGGTTGTAGAAACCTCTATGGAAATCACAATATACCATTGCTGGTGATGCATTATCTCCAGAGCTATAAACGGCATATTGGCTTGGAAGGTCTTCAAGACTTTCATGTCTGTAGGCACATGAGTTGTAACAGTCGGATTCAGAAGGTTGGTACGTCCCTAGTGGACATTTTTCTTCTTTCACAATAACAAGATCGGGATCAGCTTCTTTTTTTCTGACCTTCCTTCTGTAGCCTTAAATTAACAAAGCTAAAATCAGCTTTTCGACAGAAAGAAATGAATAAAAAATATATATGTAACTTCAATATCAGTTTACTGCAAGCGTTTTGTTTTAAACTAAAGAAAAATCAATTCATTGTATCTTAGTTTGGAGACCTTTCTGTTGAAAATGTGTCAGGGTTAAATCGTTTACATATACATGCACAGTGCGTTAACTGGAGTGCAGGTATTTGTTACCCGCACGCCAGAGCATGCCCATTGATTGGCTCATTTTTGTTGGGGTTTACATATTGTGACGGCAGTGAAAGTGAAATCGACAGAAATGTCATATTTAGATGCTCGTTCATTGGTTCATTTTTGCCGGGGTTTCATATTGTAACAACAGGGAACGTGTTTTTATGTTTGACTATGATACAAAAGAGAAAGAACACCAAAACACTCGGTAATCTGATTAATACTCGGGGGGCTACGCTCCCTCGTACAAATCAGATAACCTCGTGTTTCGGTGCTCTTTCTATTACATAACCTACCTTTTTTGCATGTAAGATTATAAGGGGAGCAAAAGTATATTGTTTCATCATCATCTCCATCTATGCAAATTGGTTTATATCCAGGATCGCACATAGCCGCAAATCCGCAAAACTCAATGTAGATGTTAAACATTTTTTCGTTTCTTCCACATGTGCGGGGTCTTAAAACACCAATGCCATTACATTGTGAAGCCTTCAGTATGCTGTAATCATATTCGTTTGTTGCGTCTTTGGTTATTTGAATAGGAGATGTTGTAACTAGCGAGAATTGCATAGATAATAACAAAGTAGCCCATACAAATGCCTGAAAAGGGAAGCAAAAGAAAAAGTGATGTTAACCATTAATTAACATACTCTACTGTTTGTGTTCATGAGTCTAACTTTCTTACAATTAAATTGAGTTTAAAATGTAATGTTAAAATGATTTCAGTATTAAAAAATAAACTATAAAAATCTATGTACATTAAATGTGAGTAGGTTTTTCTTCAATACGGGTATTTTGGATGACAGCGTTTGCATCTCTCTTTCACAAATTATGAAAAATTACTTTATCAAGCTCTCTCAGTAAGTCTTAACCTTTACCCCTGTTTTCAGTGATAGGCGCTGAACATGAAAAATGAGCCAGGCTGCAAACAAATGACGGATGTTTGATCTTTTAATCTCATTAGAGCTCAGATTTCTTGGCATATCCATCTCTTCATTAAAAGTGTCATGCAGTTTTCTTTTATGACTTCTCTTTACTTTTCTGATCTTGGAAATACATTTGCCCTCCTAAAAAAGGAATAAAATAGCATTAGCAAAACAACATACGTTTAAGAAGTTATTTTACTTTTATCAGGCATTATATCTTTCAAAAATAATCCACATGTAAAATTTTAAGGTTCTGGATTACGAGATAATTTCAAATATAAAACAAGAAAATAGACGAGGTACATATCAAAACTGTTTTAAGATAATAGATCACTCATAAACTTCAAAGTTGAAATTATACTTTAAGTAAGTTGCCTATTTTTAATCGTTCTTGCTACAATGTTGTTTTTTATCTTCTTTTTTTTTTTGACTGTTTGTTTTATTTTACATACCTTACTCTTCACTTTGTGTACTTCACCTACGTCTTTTGAAACATGATCTGTTGTGATAAAATATTTCGTGTTGTCATCAACAGCATTTCCTTCGTTTACTTCCACACCTTCATCACCATGTGATTTTTTGCCTGGAGATGAATGTGCATTTTTCATTATTGAAATATTGGCAATGTTGTTATGTTACTTATTTCAGAATTTTTATAATAATCACACAGTAAATCCAATTGAAATAGCAAAACAAAGTAAGTAATATGTAAGTAAGAAGATATTTTTGAAATAACTCACTTTATAAACTCATAATTTTAACTTGGAAAATGAATGATATAAATTTTGGAAATGATTGAAAAAGAAACTAAATATGCTAATGTACAAATATTTTGAATAATGTAATCGTTTTACATAATATTTGTCAATATTCTAAAAGACAAAACTCTTTTTAACTTTCCTTCTTATGGATTATATCTTTGAAAATATCTATGATGTTAAGGGTCAATTCCCTTTACAAGAAAACACTTTTTCTGTCCGCTTGTTCAGATTTAAAAAAAACGAAGTCAACGATGTTCGATTAATATACGTTCTATAATAAGTACAATTTTAGAAAAATACCAAATAATTTATTTCGTTAACTTTGTATAGTTCGACCCGCTAGCTAAATTATAAGTATCAGCATGGACAATATTGAGAAAAATACTATATTATGCATGTATCAAATCCGATTATGATGTTTTATAAAATATTAACGATTAATTACCTGGAACTTGGTCAGTTTCCTCGTCGTGTGATGGTTCCTGTCTTCCATGTGTCGAAGATAGGTTACCTTTCTCGTTCATAAAATGATCTAAAATATCTTTTTCTTGCAACATTTTCTCAATGTAGGCGATCGTTTTTTATAACGTATTGGTTTTGATTTAATTTATAGCGATTTAAAGTACGTGTTTATAGATGGGTATATTATTTAAACCTATTTTCAGCTCCACTGAATAAAATAAGAGATAGTCCATGTAATGTCGATGTACTCTTAAAATTGTTATTTTAAGCTATCGGGTTTATATACTCGCATAGTATTGCGTTGTAAACTAAATATAGCCATGGAAAATCCCACACACTACTATATTTACCTTTTACCTAAATTAGGTACATTGATTGAAATTTAAATTATTGTAAAATATTGAATTATGATTTTTCTTAACATTTTTATTACTTTATTTATATTACTTTTACCTTATATATTACTTGAAATATATTCATGTGAAATATTTTCAAAATATTTTCAATATAGGCTATATATAGTATATATCCATATACATTCTATTTTTAAATCCAAGAAAGGGAAAAAACGCATAGCAGTTAACCACCGGGATGACGGGGTCAAAAATAAAAACCAAAGGTAGGAACAAAAGACGGACAGAGTGACATGTGCAAAGACGATCGGGTAAATGAAAAGGAAAACAGTCGCTAAGAAATGTGGAAATATTGAAGGAGTAGCGACAGAGAAATACAAAAAAAGTGTTCATGACATATGAGCACATATTGTTTATGAACAGTTTTAACAATTGCATGTAGAATTGATAACAATCAATCAAAATTTACGCACTGACATCAACAGCCTGGTATTGATAGGAAATACTGTAAAATGTTACAATAACAAAATCGATATTTGTAATCTTCCCAAGGCAACTAATTTCTTGTCAATCAAGGTAAATCAATCCAATTTACGAGGTAAAAGTATCTTTAATATGAGACATGCGAACATGCGACCGTGTCGTCTTAACTTGATATTCAGTCAGTATTTATATTGTATTATTTTCCTATAAGGATAGTTTTATTAAGATATTTACCGCGAAAATGGTAAAAATGTTGCTTATCAATTTACACGTACATGTATGTCACTTCACGGGTCACACCAAAGAGCACTTTTGCTTTTAAAGACAACGTGTAGGTTGTATTTTTAGAGTCACGTGGAACTTTAACTATTTTTTATAGATTGGTTCTAATAATATGCACCGTAGACAACTGTATTTATTCAATAACATATTTTTGACTCTGTCATTACCCAGCCACTTTCTAGATATAGCACCAGACAAATAATGTTTCTTCTTTTCTTTTTATCTGACGATTGCTATATTGGGAACATGTCGCATATTTCAGTAGTGTGTGCTCAGTGAAGTTTGAAATAGATTGGTTAATCATTTCAAGAACTTCATCAAACTTTTAAAATTTGCTAGACAGCAGTTTGTGAATTTCAAAATGAAAAATATTGCACTTAGGCAACTAAAACAATTTATTTACTTTTAAGTAATATTTACACAACTTAAACGATTTATTTACTTTTTAGTAATATTAACACAACTAAAAAGATTGATTTATTTTTTAGTAATATGTACGTGAATGATCATAGAACCCAATTCAGTGTGTACGTTAGATATGAACTTTACTAAACAGAACTTACAAGTTATCTGACAAGTTTTGTATGTCTACACATGATGGAAAAAATATGTGTTATCTAAAATTGTCAACTACTGAAATGATTTTGATATAATTTCATATGAAATAAACGACATCAGTGCCTATTTATCGAACAAAAACTTTGATTACTGAATCTAATTCTAATACAAGTATTGGCATACTTTTAAAAACAAGTAGATAATTAAAACGTTACATATATAGACAGAATATTGAAATGTACACAACACATAACACATACATCTGCCAAGTTGGACTATAACTACCAAGCATAATTAAAGAAGCATGCCTCAAGATTTGTGCTCATTTTTATGAAAATTTTGAATAATTTTTTATTTAAAAACGAAATATTGTGCAGTGAACAAGGGTAGTGATGAATAGATTGTAAACGGTAATAACAACCCACTAAAATAACTAAAAAGAAGTCCAAAGATACAAAAATATAGCCCTTACTGTAATAGTCACGCAGTAGAAATATGGTGGTAAATACACGTACTTCGAAATCAGTCATATAATGCATATCGCATGTAAATTATTCAAGAATTTGTCATCGTTTTACTTCTCTCAATATCTTTTGGCAGCTCATCTTGAGGCATGCAGCTTTAAATAACTTCTTAATTAAGTGTAGCTATAATATATTTGCAATATTATTTCATTCAAAAATCATTTTTCTTAATTGCTTATGAACATGATTTCTTTTGTAACATAAAGCTCTAACATCAAAACAAAAGACATGTATTCAATCATTATAAACACGTAATTAGTGTTCATAATAAAAGTGTAGTGGAACAATTAACAAAATTGGTATTTTAGACATTTTCCTTGCCTCCACGTCCATGTATCTAGATTCCAAACAGAATAATTTTCTTCTAAAAGTAATCCGGGATATATATCATCATCAACTCCGAAATAATATTTTCCGAATGTATCCCTATTTAGCATCTGTTTCTGTTATTCACAACATGACCATCTCGATATTAATCGACATTTCACATTGCAAGTAAAATGACCAAAAGATAACGATGAAAACAAGAACTTTATAACAATCAAACTTTTTTTAATCGAAACGCAAAAGCGAATAAGATTCAGGTAAATATCAAGGATAAGTATCGCATATAGCACAATAAATAGATACTTCTAACTCCAGAATTCCTTTTTTTTCTTTTTTTCTTTTGCTTTTTTAAATGCAGTAATAAGTTCAACCAATACCTTTTCAATTCAACGACGTTGTGTACAGATTTAAAAACTTAAAACATAAATACAATGATTATTGCGTGGTCAATAACATTCGTATAGTGTTTACTTTATTCGGTATAAGCAGGGTAATGAAAACACGCTGTGTTAATATCCATTTATCTCACATCAATTTTCAATCCATGAAATTTTTACGATGAAAAAAAGTTCAGAATTATAATGTCATGAACGGATGTCACAAAATTGTCTTTCCAAAACAAGTAAAAACATCACACATCTTCTAGTCCTTCATCTTCTTCTCCTTCTGCTGCTCTTTGGAGAAAACGCTAGAAAAAAAAACTTATCCAATAAGTCTCTTATTAACTAACTCAGCATATTAAGCACGTCAGAAATTATAAAATTTGATTTATATTTCAGATATATTACCACCTACTTATCAATTCTTAACTCTGTTTTCTCTTTTCCTATATCCTTTATTACAAAATCATACAATATAATGTTTTTACTTATAACACTTAACAATATTATATAACATCTTTTATGCTATACAATTGATATCATAATCTTCGGAATTATTATTATTATTATTATTATTATTATTATTATTATTATTATTATTATTATTATTATAGATATAGTGTACTTCATTTTTGAGTACCTGTTTTGCCTTGTCACTTATAGAGAATAAAAAGCAAGTAAGTGTGTTTTTCATTAGTTATGGAACAAATAAGATTTCAGATAATTATTAAATTTTATATTCTTTATATTGATGTAAAGAGACACATACTTGCATCTCAATCGGTGCGTTATTTCCTCTCTCGGGTATCCCTTGGTAAATATTGACACTTTCAACATTTTCAATTACGGTCTTATTTTCTGTTTTCTTGTTTCTTGTCAGGGTGATGCTTTTTCTAAAAGTTACATGTATGAAAATATAACAGATTTGTGTTGAACACATGTTATGTAATAATTGTATCTTATTTGGCATGGTTTGTGCCGATCTGTCAAAACTAAGTATAGTTTAAAAAGCAATTTGACTTGAAATTTCAGATAAGGTCTATGATTCTTCTGTGTTGTATGTCTATAAATGTAAAAGACTACCTAATTTTTTCATAGATAAGGAACAGATAAAATAGCCAGATAGTGCGTTTTGATGCTAATCAGTACTTTCTCTGAATTGTTTCTAAAATAAATTGATAATAACGAATGAGGGAAAGAAAATAAAATATAACCAGTTAACACTTTAATGGTATGCCTAGTAAAATTTTCAATAGCCCTATCTAAAAACATAAGTTCTTCAAAATCATTAGTCTTTTTTAATGACGTACCAGACCTAACACCGCGTCACTCAACTCAATTACCAAGCTATTTGCTTTTGAATTTTTTATTGATTGAATGATGGATAGTAAGATGAAATTTAAATCAGAGAAAAAAGAGCCAACTAAATTTTTAACGAAAATTTCAAGCATGCAAAGAAGTAAGTAATGAACAAAAATATATTCCTACCTTCCGTTTTTCTTGTGTTTCAGAAAACAGACAACTAAACCAATTATCATAACAATAACCACAATAACGCAAATAAAAACTGAAAATATTTCATACACATTATAAACACAATTATGAATGTATGTTAAAGGCGATTCATACAACAGTTTCTGTTTGTTATTTTTAAAAAGACAAAGAAGGAAGATGTAAACTAGTGAACAGAATTTTCTATAACTTTGCATGATAAAAGAGAATCATAATTGAAACAATATTTGAAGAAAAGATGGAGTAATCTGTCCCTGAAAGTTAATTTTGGTTTGTTTTCCATTAGCAGATTATTAAAATTTGTAGCAAACAACACTTTATTTCATTTCAAGTATTAGGATTATTTAAGTCCATTCCCTGAATTTATATGACATCATTTGTTTTCATGATGATTTTCTGTAATAATGCAAACATAACAAATATATGTTTGCTAGATAAAATGTTCCTTCTTTGTCCATGTGAAAATGAAATAGTGAACGTCTTTAAATGTTCTCATGAATTTTGCTTTAAATAATAATAAATGTTTGCGCATGACTATATGAAAATATACTGAAAAATATAATATTTAATACAGCCTTTATGATTTGATTAAATGTCAATGGCCTGAAAAAAATTGATTACCCCTGACTCAAATCACATTTAAAGGCCCGATATGATCCAGAAATGCTTTTATTTATATATTTCAAAAAGCTTTTTTAATTTTAGTGTACTTCTATCGTATCCAAAAAAATACTCGTTGACCAATTACCTGAAACATCTGTACAGTTATAGTAAATAAGTATTTTATACAGAAATCAAAATGATTCATGCACGTTTATATTTTGCTACCTTTATGACAAAATACGTATTTTACATTTATCGTTACATTTTCTGATAACAAGTAGCTAACATTTAAGCTTCATAAAATAAATTGAAATTTATTTGTTTCTGAGGCATATTGTCTTTGAATAAACAACTCTAAATAGCTAAATGATCTTTCAAAAAAGTAAGCATTGTGTAATTTGTCGGGTATAGTACTTTTCAAAATAAAATGGTTCAATCAATTTTATTGTCTGCAATTTAAATACCTTTTAGATTCATAATCTTTACCTGCAAAAATCATATTATTCAAATGTGTAGCGAGACCTTTCTCATCATTTGGTTGATGATGTTCTCTCTGTAACAGAAACATTTTCTTTGGTTATGTTCTTTATCTAAATTCTAACTCGATGTATTTCAGCTGTTTTATTTAGAATATCTAACAATGTTTAATTTAAAATATCTAACATAGTTTATTTGATTACTTGTTGTCATAGTTAGCTCATGCATTATTTGCTAGGTTTATTTTTATCAATGTTAGATGCCTGTTACTGTATTATCTTTGTTTACACGTATGATTCAATTTGATATACTTCCAAGATGTTTATGAATAAACCTCGACATACAGATAAAGACAATAGGAAACAAAATTATATGAAAATAAAAGTGATGTTAGATAGTATACCCAAAGAGAAATAGAACAACTGACAAGACAAAGAACAGTTGTATACAGTATTTTTCATTATGTTTTGAAATAAAGGAATAACTGTACAAAATGTGGTTCAAGCACACGCACAAAATAATGGGAAATAAAATAGGAAATGTGGTGGTTAGTGAATAAAAATGATACCCTTTAAGAATGCCAGTGTTGAGCTGTTAATTGATAAATATGTAAATCCTAAACATGTGATGTTATTTGTTAATAACCAAATATGTTAAGATGCCCTTTTAAGTACAGTAAATTGTTATTTCTTGAAAACGACGTTTTGAGGTGAAATATTTAACATTATTATAATCGAAAAAAGCCTTATCACCTATAAAACAAAATGGTATGTAATTAACTTGAATAGCAATAAATCGTTTTTAATCTTTTGTTAAATTATTTCTGAAGCGATTTTGTTTTGCATTGTTTGTATTGCTTAAGTACTTAATTCTTTCTTATATAATTGTTCTAACTTACCTCATGTGCCACGGTATTTTCGACTGGCCCTGTGGTTGTAGAGTTTGTCGTGGTTGTTGTTTGCTGGTTTGCTATAATTTATTTTAACCAATAAATATTTTAGAAAAGTAATCAATAATCAATGATATGTCATTAGATATAAGAGTTACATTTTTCATTTAACATTAGAAACGTATATAATAAACATCTTGTGCTCGAGTAGAATGGATTTTTTGCTGTATTTAGCTGTAAAAAAGCTCCGCCTTTTTCTACTCATTGCTATGTTGCATGGCATATCACAAACAAAACAGTGTGTTCTTTAGTTAAACGGTCATTCAGAGACCATGTATTATCCCAGTGTTTCAATTGGATAGCCTTTAATACAATTGGCATGAAAATGTAAACACTACAAAGATCTATTATTAATGAATCAAATTGTTTAGTTAAGAATAAACGAAATGTTGAATAATGAGAACGTATATGGGCGTTTATATGCATAAGAGTGCTAGGTAACAGTAATGTTTTGAATTGATAAGAAATACATTCATAAAGATATATCACATTATACCCTTTTCACTAGAAGATCCACTCTGTGTGATGGCAAAGGTTCCATTCCTTTAATATTAAGCATACAGTTTTATTATCTTACTTACTCACACGTTGCATGGGAATTTCAAGAGTTAATCACATTTAATGGGAATTAAAACCAAAATAGCTTTCTAAAAAGTATTACGTTTTAAGCATGATTTTTTTATTAAATCATCCCACTCATACGATTCGAATTATAAATAATACAAAAGCTTTATAGCTCCAAGCTATATTTTGAATTAGCTACTGACATTTGAACGATTTAAAGTAAACTTTATTGAATAATATATAGATTTAACTTACCAACTTTTGGTGCACTTGAATCCGTCGTGGGCATCTCGTTTAAGGCCTTCCATGCAAGAACCAATACATGTACTGTCTGTAATAAACATTTAATGATGTTTTGCTAGTTCATATTGTTTAAAATATTTTTTAATTTACTAATATTGACAAGAAATAATGACAGATTAAAATCAATATAAAACGTGACAATACTTACTTGGAAGCGGATATTCTCCATTAGAACATGGGTTGATATCGGAAACGCTAGTACAGAAAAAAGGATAGTGCACAAAATGATCATCATATGCAAGTAGAAATTTCCCATCCATGTTGTAAAACCCTTTCTCAAAATCGCAATAGATCCAAGTCGGTGATATATTGTCACCCACAGAATATAAGACAAATTGTTCTGGCAGATCTTGCAAATCCCAATGTTTATTCATGCACGAGCCGTAACAATTTGATTCTGTTGGCTGGTATCTCCCACGTGGGCATTTTTCCTCACTCACATGAACTACATCGGTATCATTATCAAGCCATGCATTCCTTCTATAACCTGTTAGATAACAATAAACCTTATAAATAGACAAAGATAACAATTTGGTGAAATATCTTTTGATTAAATATGAAAGTATTCAATCGATTTCCAACAGAAATTCGTAATCATTAAAAGATAAACATTCGTGATGAGACAATGTGTATACTTTTCGACCTTTGTAACGATTATTTTATTCATATTTACTTAACCCTTTAATAGATTGTACCTTTTGGACAAGTAAGGTTTTTCGGGGAGCATATATGAAGCATTCCACCACTTTCGCCGTCGACACAAGTCGGTTCAGAATCATTGTCACAAAGGTCCTCAAAACGGCAAAAATCGATGTAAGTTTTCCGTGATATTTCGTTCTTGTGGCATGACTCTGATCTAATCAAGTCCTTGTCGTTACATTGGGAGGTTAATAGAAGTCGGTATTCTTCAAAGTGTTGCGATTTCGGGTCATGATTTATAGCGACAGGCGATGCCGGACATAGTCCACTCACTATCAACAGCAGCATTAAGAAAGCCTGTGAAATATTTAAAATGAGTATTATTCTTTTACGGAAAATGCAAACTTACAAAGTTTAGTAATAGAAAAAGCACTGAAACACGAGGTTATCTGATTTGTACGAGGGGGCGTAGCCCCCCGAGTATTAATCAGATTACCGAGTTTTTTGGTGTTCTTTCTCTTTTGTATCATAGTCAAACATAAAAACACGTTCCCTGTTGTTACAATATGAAACCCCGGCAAAAATGAACCAATGAACGAGCATCTAAATATGACATTTCTGTCGATTTCACTTTCACTGCCGTCACAATATGAAAACCCCAGCAAAAATGAGCCAATCAATGGGCATGCTCTGGAGTGTGGGTAACTAATACCCGCACTCCAGTTACCGCACGGTGCATGTATATGTATACGATTTAACCCTGACACATTTTCAACAGAAAGGTCTCCAAACTATGATACAACACACTGATATTGTTATTTTTGAACATTCATCATCACAATTTTGAATCTGTCAATTTTATGCTCCTCAGATATTGGTCCATGACAAAAATATATCAAAATAAATATCTTAAAGGGTTTTAACACCGCAAAATTGAAAAATGATCCGGTTTCGATTTGATAGAGATTGTTCATGGAGGGCAGTGGTATGGTATAACATCAGTTCATGCCCCTGGTACAGGCTTAATTGGTTTCTTGAGAAATGTATTATGCAATGTAATTGTTGGTACATTGAATTATTTCCATAGTTTTATAACAACATAATTGTAATATTTTATATGTTTACCTTTCTAGATGTTTTCATTCTAAAAAAGCATCCGAATATGACAGCAAAAGTCTTGGCATTCTGTTGTTTTTCACAAGTCTCATAATATGCTTCTCCCTTGCTGTTTGTAATACATCTGCTTCTTTGTTTTGCTTGACCCTGTTGTTTGTTTGAAGTCTTGGTCATATAGACAGCAGTGAAAAGGTATAAAACGATACAATGAACTTTGAGTTTGATACTAAAATGTTGTCCTTAAAATTCAGTGTATTTAGCATAAGCGTATTCGTAATTATATTGATATGTAAAACACATATACTAGTAACCAAAAACAGAGACGAAGACGATATGAACAGAACGGCCTTCCATTTATTAACATTTACAAACACAATTCTATTTACGAACAAAAAATATAATCCAATGTATCATTAAATATTACTAGACATGCGAACAACATAACTTTTGATTCAAAGATTTTACTAAAGTTTCCATAACGCTGTTTCAGCTCAGTTAAGATTACCATTTGCTTTGACTGTTTTCCTGCCTCTCCAGTGCTCAAGTTGCTTGGATTTTCTGAGTTAGAACGGTGTTCTGCTATACTTTTGTCATTTTTAACATTATCCATAGGACATGTGTCTTTCATTTCAAACTGAAATCTCTCCTTTTCACCATCCACAGACTCGGTTTTGATATGCAAGTTTGCATTGACCTGTAAAAGTATGTACAACTTCACAAACTTTAATAGGACTTATATTTGACTTTAACTTTATCAGTATATTGGTATATTTGAATGATCTTTATGGTCAAAAGAAATTTTGAAAACTTACTTTTGAAAATTGCTTTTTCTTTTTTGTTTTGACTTGTATAAAACATGTATTTTATGATAAAAACTGAATATTTCTTAAAAATTCTAAAAACAGTAGCTTAAAAAACTAACAATAATAACCTTATCACTATGCCTTGTCGCCAACGGTTTGGTTTTGACAGGAGTATTTTCATTTGGTGTTGAATTGTTTATACCATTTTGACTTTCTTTGTTTTCAACTGAACCTTCAACACTCTTTATACCATTCCATTGACACAGATCATTGACTGATAAGGAGTCATCTATTGTTTAAAAGGGAACTGATATTGAAATGCTTCCTTGTATTTGTTCATTTAAATCATCCATCCATATCATGTCATTACATTTTGAAAGAATATCCTTTACATTATTAATCGAATACACGGTAAGAAAGGCTGACATAATGTTCATGACATCATATATTAAAAGTTGCTACCGTTACATTTGTTCAAGCTCTTGACCAATTTCAATGAAATAGTACTTTAATTTCTTATTAACTTTATATACACAAGCATACGTTTGTCGCCAGCATTTGTCGAGGTTTATTTTGTTTTATTATTCAACTGTTAGCAAATGAAAACATGACATACCGTTAGATTTGTAAGGACAAAATATTGTTAATCTAATGATATTATGTCATTTTTTAATGTTTACGTATATTGACGGTTTATTTGAATAAACCCGTAGACTGCTGGCGACAAAGAATTGTCAATTTAATTTAAGATATTTTATTGTTGTAATGTTATTCAATAAGCTCATATTCCCCCTTTGTTTTTCTCATAACCTTTTATCTTTTATTCAAACATTTCAAATATTCTTTATTGACTGACATTCCAAAATCTTAAGTACCTTCATATTTATTCGTATAATTTTCATCCTTTTTTCCAACACTTATACTTGTCTCATGCATGGTGCCATTATGCACCGTTTTCTCTTCTACCTCGAAGGACCAGTTAACATGTTTAGCCGAGAAAAAAGTCAATCCGCTGTTATTCACCAGAAAAGAATTAACCTAAATATGAAATAAAATGTGATCAAACATCGAAATGTTTTACATAAAACTTTAAGACAAAATTTAAATGTTTAACACAGACAGGTAAGTCCAAAACAATATGTATAAGTTTGTTAAACAATATTTATTTCCTATCACATACATGTACAATTAACATTATATATCAAATTATTAATATACATACAAGTATACAGATATAGCAAATATAATATTTTGTACAAATAAATGATTGTTAGCATGTCAAAAAGAGTTTTTAGTTTAAGAAGACCTTCCCCTGATCTAGGTAGAAAAACTAACTTTCCGTAGGGAAAGTGACTAGCTTCCTCACGTTACAGAATTCGAAGTTCCTGTCAAAATTCGAATCAACATTGGTGATCAAGGGACATGTGGCTTGAAACCACTCAACCATAGATTTCCACTTTCGATTCTAACAATATTTAATGGCATTTTCTGAATGTGTACCTATAGATCAACATATTTTGTGCAACACTATAAGTAAGAGATGTTACATGAGACTACAGAAAAATCAAATACGACATATATTTCTTTTCTGTATAAGTATCAAGAACGCACACAAATGTTCAACACGTTTGCACCACATAACATGCATATGAGCAATTTTTAAGAAAGCTAGGGTGAAAATATTACTTCAATGTTTTACCATTTTAGGGATGTTTGTCTTTGCGTAGTTCTTTTACCCATGTTGACCTATATTCGAACTTGATCTAGAAGTTCTCAAAACAACCATTCTGACCAATCTCCAGCATATTTGGACCGAAACATAGCTTCCAGAGTTCCAACAAGGCTTTAACAAATATGTGTTGTTTGACCTAGTATTTACTCCTACGTAACCCATATTCAAACTTGGATTAGAAATTATCAAAACAAACTGTCTGACAATTTTCCAGGATATTTGCATCGAAACAGTAGCCCACAGAGTGTTTTCTTTTTCTTTGATTGTTTCTGTGTTTGGCTCCAGTGAGTTTTCAATTAAGATGACCCATCAGAAAAATAACAAACATATTAACCAAGTCTGTTGACAATTAAAGCAAAAATGTGACCACTAGAGTGTTAACGAACTACTTGTAGATGGACGATAGATGACCCTAAAAGCTCACCCTTGATCAGATCTGGTGAGCTTAAACGTAAATAACATATTTAGTGTCAAAGAAGTTTTTCTTAGAAATCCAAGTTCAAATTGAAGATGATTCTGAGAATACAGGTGCTTGACTTATGAATCTAATCAAATATGAGGTAGGTGTTCAAAACGAATATTAAACTGGATGTTTGAAGTTAATCCCTTACGAAATTTAGACGTTGCAAAAAAATAAGGAAACTTTAAGCAGAAAGAGCAGGCAATTCGATAAAAAATATCTATATTTAGTTATATAGTTACAGTTGAAATTTAAATTATATGCTAGTACCTCTTCATTATAATATTGGTGTTGATATAAAATATAAATTTTGAGTTTGAGGTAAGTCCTTTTAGAGATAAAAGAAATTAAGAGTAAACAAATATTTTAAGAAAAAAACTAAGTTTAAGAGGGTCATTATTCTAGAAATAGTCATGCTAGAGTTATGAATCGTATTGCACATGATACGAGAGGGGAAGAAAAAAATATTTGAAAAAGAACAAAGTCAAATCAAGAAATAGTCTCTAGATCTACATTTATGAATCTTGTTACACATGGATGATAATAAGAAAATATTTAAGAAATAAAGAAGTTAAAGTAAAAAATAACATCTTGAAAGGTGAATTTCTAAGGAATGATTTTAGAAATATTGGTGCTAGAGTTATGAAACATATGATGTGGCATAGATTTAAAGTTTGAAGTAAATCACATATGGTGTGAAGAAGTCAAAGTAAAGATAATCATTCTTAAGGAAAATTCTAAGTTTAATGGGGTGGGTGATAATTATGAACATATTGGTGCTAGAGTTGTGAACCTTGTTACATATAATGTGGTTGATGATAAAGAGCATATATTTAAAGCTTGAAATAGATTACAAAGCTGTTACAGTAAAATGTAACTTTTTTAAGGAAATAAGGCAAATTCAAGGGGAAGTAATCCTGAAACTTTTTCCTGTAGGGTTATTCACTTATTAACCGTCACATATAATATGGTTGATGAAGAAATATGTATTTGAAATTTGAACCAGATAAATTAAGGAATAAGGAAGCAATGGTACAAATACTTTTTAATGCACACAAACTTAACCAAAAATCTGGACGCAGATGAGTATGACAGCTCTCAATTCATACCTGAAAAAAAACTCAACATACAAATGTGAATGCAACATACCTCCCGTGAACCCCAAATCCCCATTGTTTATATCCAAAGCTTTTTATGACCCCAAAGTAAAAAAAATGTCTAAAGTCTGAAATGAAATTTTCCCGTTTTTTTATTTAGGAAATTGAAATTTGGGTTTTTTTTTTTCATGTCAATGGACGTGTGTAGAAATCCATATATCAATTGGTTCTCCTCAATTGTTTTCGAGCGCATTACTAGGCTGTTTCTCTGCCCGTCTCAGCAGCAACAATAACAATTACAATTGTAATAAATATTTTTTTCAAGAAAATTACATATAAGGCATTTATACAACATTAGTGCGTACTAAATAAACACGGGAACACAATCACAGCAAAAAATGCCGGCTAAATCATGTTTCTGTATACAAGTCATACTCAAAGAAAAGATGTATAAGATCTCCCAACAAAAAATGAATAATATGTACATAATGCAAAAAAAATAGCTAGATAACAACTTTTAATACAAATTGTCTGTATTATTAAACTACTAAGTTTGATACAAGTCATATAGCATATACCATTACATACATGAGGAAAGAAAAGCAGGGCATATAATTTTGATCACGTCTTTTTACGTATGAACTATAAATTTTTACAAATTCATAAGCCCCTGAGTATAAATCAGACTGCCGAGTGTTTTGGTGTTATTTCTCGGGAAAAAATAGAAACACTTTGCCTATCGTCACAATATGAAACCCGTTAAAAATGTAATCAAACAAAGAGCATCTGATTATGACTTTTCTATTATTATCCCTTTCCCTGCTTTAACAATAATTACCTCGAAAGGAAATGTTCAGTAAATACTAACAATAAATGGTTTTATCCGGATTGAAAGATTGACAAGTGCATTCAAGATTTTCAGCAAGGTAAAGGTTACAATTACTTTAAAACTTCGCCTATAAAGATACAATTAGAACATTTTTCAAAATATTTAATTAAATTACAATTACATAACCAATGTAATTAATAACATTTCAATTACAAAAGCCAACCATTATCACTTGTATATAGTTAAAGTTTAAGCGATATATGTGAAATACTTAAAAAGTATACATAAAAGTAGCAAAATGTAAGCAAAGTAATATTTTTTACTTCTATACATACTGCCAAAAAGCCGCAGGTAAGAAAGATGGTTCTGGTAATTGGCAAATGCTATCAAAAAAGTACACCACAATTAAGAAGCCTTAAAAATAAAATATTTTTGAGGCATAATTGGCATTTTAAATTATTTATAATAAGATCATATTTTATATTAAATAAATCCTCTTAAGCAGCCATTGAGTCCGCACAGTGCTCTACAAATAGCACACATTTAAAGTGCAGGAATACATGAAGAACAACATGCCAAGTGGGCACATGGTAATGTAATTATACATGCAAAAGCATCAAAGCATAATTTACAAGTTTCTTGATTTTTCAATTGTCTGTTCTTTAATATCACCATCTGTCCCTGAATATCATCTAATTCCAGATTTTCTAAAATTACTTCTACAGCAGTAACAAGGTCAACAGCAGGTATTTTCCCAATATATCCTGCTTCATCAAAGATTAAACAGATGTATTGACGATATCCTCATACGAACAATACAGTCGTGCTACACTTATAGAATCCTCATTCCTTTTCATAGCCAGTTACAAGTACGGTGTCAAAAATTACCGTCATATCACAGGCACGGCCATCACTACATTATATTCGTCACTTCCTTCCGTAATCCAATCAACATATCCTTTTCCTTTACTCTTAATGACATGTCCGCATTAGGGCTTGCTTGCTAAAACGTGTTGTTTCAAAGGGCAATCACCTTCTGGCCAATCCTTTATTCCTATCCCGCAACAAAAACATGTTACAGAGTCCCAAACTCCAGTATATGCAAACCAAACCTCTGATAAAAAAATGTTCTTAAGAAACCATTGAGTTCGCACAGTGCTTTAATATGTGCTCTTCAAATAGCACACCTAGAAAATGCAGACATATATAGAGAGCAACAGGTCAAGTGACCACACGGCAATGTTATTATACCAGCAATAGCATCAAAGCATAATTTACAAATTACTACATGGTTCTTTCAATTGTCTGTTCTTTAAAATCACCATCTGTCCCGGAATAACTACCATCTTATTCCAGATTTTCTTTAATTTCTTCTACAACAGCTGTAAGAAGGTCCACAGCAGATATTTTTCTCAATATATCCTGCTTTATCAAAGATTAAATAGCTGTATTGATGATATCCTCATTTGAACCATACAGTCTTGCTACACTTATAGAATCTTCACTTCTTTTCATAGCCAGTTACAAGTACTGTGTCAAAAATTACCGTCAATATCGTAGACACCGTCATCACTATATTATATTCATCACTTTCTTCTGTAATCCAATTAACATATCCTTTCCCTTTACTCTGAATGACATGTCCGCGTTAGCGTGTTGTTTCCAAGGACAATCACCTCATTTTCAATAGAAAGGCCTCCAAACTATTATCAAGTAATAGAAAGAGCATAGAAACAAGTCAGTCTCGGTTGCCTGTACCTCTGGTTGGTTCCATGAAGCGGACTCTAAAGTGATTAATATAAGTTGCAAGAACTTGTTTCGCAATCGAGCTTATATAAATATGTATAGACCAAATTTGTATGTCTGACAGTCCAGTGTGAAAAAGTTACTACTCATGCGACATAAGGAAGAGATATTTCCATGTGAACTATTTATCAAATT